AACGACGCGCAAGTTTGAGGAGAGAGCATCTTTCCTGCCTCTTTCGTTGCCCGAGTTCAGATTCCCCAATCATGGAAGTGCTTTTCGCAGCTCAAGCTTGAATCTCGCAAGAGTGCCTCATGTACGAGATCGAAGTCGATTCGGAGTCGAGAAACTCCACTGGAATATCCAGCGTGGTTCGAGGATCCCCGTGACGCAACAAGGCCCCAGATCAGGAAACCGCACGACGAGTGCCCAAAATGGTTGCACCTTGGCTGGGAGGGCTTATTCTCGGCTCCGAGGTAATCAGACTCGCCTTCACTACATCACCCTTCAAAGTCTGACGCCTTGGAAACAGAGGGATTACGCACTTGGTGCCAGTAGCTTCATGTACTGTCTTCGAGAGTACTTGAAGCTTCCATTCTCGGTTTCCATGCATCAAATTTAGCTTCTCGCAGCAAGATGCCGGCCCTCCCGCAAAGAAACGCAGCTCGATAGACTCCCCTACCTCAAGGCGCCCAGGCGACAGGCGAGAATTCTGCAGACATATATTTTGGAGAGTTCCAAATGAGGCATTGAACTTTTCTCAATTCCACATCGGATGAATCCTCGGGCGTATCTGGCCTCGAGTTATCAGCTGTCACGGCCGTATCGGTGCAGAGCGGATGACTCCCGCGCTCGTGCTGGTCGGCGAGTAAGGTCAGTCATCCAACACACGTATATCACGGTCTTCCCCGGGATCGGATTCTTCGACTGATCTCAGGATTCTCAGGATTCTCGAGAAATCTCGGGAGTGGCTAGCGAAGGAGAATGAGCAATGAATGTCCAGGCGCGGCCTGGGTCGCAACCCGCTCGACCTCAGATTGGAAAAGATCGCCATTGGCATCCGGGGCCTCTTTCACAGGGCCGGGAAGGGGGAGACACTGAGCAACGTGATTTCATTCTAAGCTTAGGGCTCCGAGTCCCCCTCTGGTATGCTTTTGCGATTGAAGAGCTTGCTCGAGAGGTAATCTAAATTCTTTATTTATGCTGCATTTCAACCACTAGCTCGAACGCTCAAACGACCCAAATGGCACTCAGAACAAGAATTGATACAGAACGAGAGTACTTTATTGATTTTGACTAAATCAGATCATTCAGCTGCTGTTTATCATCTACTAGGTCTGCGCGCTATTGGATCTTCCTCTCCGAAGATATGAGCGCAAGAGCACGAGATTATCGAGGGCTCCCGGTGGGGGGGAGTTGCGCGACTCCGTGCAAAGGGAGCTCTTCTGAAGCTTGCCGTAACCATGACCAGCCTCGGAGAGCATCATCTCCGAACGCAGCTGCGCTGTCGACGGCTGGACAAGCAGCAGCGGCTCCTTGTCGCTTAGCGGAGGAATCTTGAATACGTCGTCAGAATTAATTCTGACTTCGTCCGACGCGCACAGCTCTTCCTCCTTCGATCGCGAGCCTCCTCGGCGTAGGTCATAACGTTCCTCCTCATTGCGTGGATGAAGGTATAGCTTTGCCAGTGTACGCTTGGCTAAATAGGACGCGTAACAGTACGGCCGGGACATCACTCTGAAGGACAATCCGTCCTCTGCGGCTAGTCTGGCGATCAGATCGTGGGATCTTTCTCGATTTCAACGCGACCGACGGCTCTGGTCGAGAGCGTGGGGATCGCCAAAACTTCACTATCATCGACCTTGTGCTGATCCCTGAGGTGTCTTGCGAGACCTGATGTGGAACCTCCAGCGCACTTCATCTCCTTCGCACGGGATCCACATTTTGCTTTGTCGTCCGAATGTTTCAAGAAATGAGACCAAACCCAACTCTTAGCAGGCTGAGACATCGTGGAGATAGTCATCTTCCTCTTTGACCGATGGAAGATTCGAGAGGTTCCCAGCGACGTTTCCGAGAGCTCCAAATTTTTCGTCGCTTTCCGCGCCAGAAAAACCACGTAAATTGTTGAGGTGACTCTGGCAAGCTGCTCCCATTAGTGCCATTCTCCAGAGTCGATGTTGGAATCGGGGTCGATTCGGAAGCGCCGACGAGATCGATGGAAAAATCGAGTCGAAGCTAGAAAATGATTTCCCGCGAAGTAATCGGGTTCGACACCCGGTTTCCCAGGAAAAAACTGGTTTCCTTTCCCGAGTGCGGGACCTATCGGAAGACCGATATTGCGTGGAATCGACTCGGACACATCGTCAGGCATAATGCCCCTCGTCAAGTCCTTGGGTCAGTTTCAGGATTGGAGCAATCACGGAGACTTGCTCTGATGGGCCATGACCTATGGCTGTGGTCTCCGTAATTCAAGAATTTCCTGGTGAGCAAGCCCGGGTAGAAATGAACGCTCCGAATGAGCTAGAGCGACGCAGTCCCTACGACTCCGACGCCGTCGGTGGAATGCAATCAACCTCAGCCAAGCTGCTCATTACTGAAATTAGGGGTGAATTACAGTAGATACTGTATCGACCAGCGGAGAATTGCGGTGTTTTCCTTCTCGCACCAGAGGTTCAATCTCACAGGCAGCACTTCCAGCTGTTCTTTTCGGAAGTCGGAGCAGGCGAATTCAAAAATCCTCCTTCCTCATCGACTGTTAATTTCGGAGACACCAATGATACCGTTTCCATAGTCCATCAAAATCCCCGAGATGACCGTAGAAAACCCGTAGATCCGAGGTCTGTCACAGCGGGATGAATGCCTATCGCCGAGCTATGTCAGATTTGACGTTTGCCAGGAGAAGTGGGTCATGTGAACGCGACTTCTTCTGGGGCGAAGATGTCCCAGATATGTCATAGGTCGTAATAGCTTCTGGTACTTTGTTGAAAAGAGGAGTTTCAAACGCGTTTAACACTTTCGACGTCTACTTTCCCGTCGTGAAAGACTCCTGGCACGAAGTTCCTCATGGTATTTGAGGGCTTGCTCGTTCGCAAATAATCGAAAATGACATTCGTTTGTCATTACGACCTTGGATTCCTCGCTGAAGATTACGCCGGCGCCGTTACTTCGCTCGTCTTTGGGTGACGCTTCCCCGATCGGATAGAACTAAAACTGAAACCTTCGATTTCCCGATCTTCCGTATGTCCTCGGAACGCAACTCACCCTTGACTCGTGGGATTTATTTTGCGAATGTGAGAATCGTGTCAGTCTGATCAGTGGCTCCATGTCCTCCTCCGAAATTTCTTTTCGGTCCCAATGGGCAAGCTCGTAGAGGGAGAGCTTTCCTGAGAACCCCTCGGCATTCCACAAAAAATAAATTGCCCCCTCCCCAATACATGATGCATTCCATTCGCTCAAAATGCTGCCCGGATTGATTCGTTCGCCTGAGTTTCGACGTCCTATCACGAGCTTGACTCACACGGCTAACATGTTGAAGTTCACTGCCGTGTAAACCGAAAGTGAACGTCTAGAGCTCCTTTGGGCAGCTTCGCCCTACGAGGACGCCCGTATACTGGAGAGTATCGATAGCGGAACGTGCCGATCTCGCGGCCGATAGGGATGTCACTTTATCGGCGATGCCGCCTCCTGCTCTGAGAGGTTTCCGCGCGGAAGGAGGATAGCTTTCGCTTTAGCTTCCTTCGCTCATGGCGCGCTTTCACTCGAAGGCTCGTCGGTGTAACATTCGGTCGTTTGTTCCCGTAGTAAGTCGTTCATGAAATGAACGCGTGTGTGATTAGTGATTATTTAATCACGCGTTCAGATTATACTTCTCAAATCCACCAGATCCGTGTGAAAAGCACCGCGCTGTCAACACTAGCGGGGGATAAGCGATATATCACCAAGGTCGTTGTTTAGACCGAGACTTTCCTCGGAGCACATTGGATCGCGATTCGCTGCATAAAGATGAGGCAGTAAATTAGTTCCGCGTGCGATTCCCGTGATTCCAGTGAAGATATTATAATGAATTGTTCGGGAAGTGAATTCTCAAGCAAATGAGACTTATATAACGGGACCCGTGGCGCTGTATGAATCCTATACTCGCCGTTAGCGAGCGGGGAGTGATCGGGAAGGTTCTCTGATTTCCCCAACATGACCGTGGAGAAGCAATAATTTTCTTCAGCTTTGAAGATCTTCAATGCATTCGCTCAGAGTGGGGATGCGCCGGAATCCCGAGAGATCGAGATGAGATTCTGCTATACATATGATGCAATCTATCGGGAGTCCTCTAGTACACGGATCATTGCAGAACGCATGGAAACGCACCGAGGAATTCGAATGCACCTTCCGATTCCGATTTCCATGGTAGATCAAATCAATCCAGTTTCTCGATCCGGGAATCCATCCAGAACTAAGAATCAGAGTGGAAAGATCCTAGCAGCAGCATCTGTCTGACATATCTGACATATCGGCTGTCTGTGCGTTGATGGGATACAAAAACTTTATATCCCATGCATTCATGCTCGTCGAAAAAATGGCGACAAATCTTTTCTGCTGCAAGCTGTCGCCCATATTTCCTCCGGATAAATTGGAAGCGAAACTTTCTGTGTCAAGAATCCCTCTTTTTGCCAAAAATGAACTTCTGTCGTGGAACCATTCTTCCAGAGGCAGGTCCTCAAAAACTCGTTCGAAAGTGTTGTTCGCTACTGCCGCTGGAGATGAAGCATCTTTCTCGGTCTTTTCGAATCGGAAATTTCAAAATCGCCTCGAGCGGTGTCAGAGGAAATGAGAGCGAAAATCTCGTCGCCCAGCCGTATGATTGTCATTCTGTCATTAGCGCTCCCTGTGTTACAAGGAGTCTCGTATTCGCTTCGATCGATTCTGTAAGGGGGAACCCTCTCCGCAGGCATCAGGAGGCTCCCCGCGAGCTTCGCGGAGCTCCCGTGTTCCGATTCGAAGAGTGACCGTAGCATCGCTTCCGTCGATATCAACCTTCTTCCAAAGCTTTTGATACCTTGCATGAGCGAAAATATGAGATGAGTCCCGTGCGGGCGTTCACCCGGATCTGTGACCGTTTTGCATCAATCAGAGTTCTAAGATTCGCTCGTCGGAGCAAATGAGACGTAAAGGCTTCCGTTGAGAGCGATATTTATTCATAATCAGACCTTGAGTTTTCTAATCTCGTCCGATTTGAACTCTACCCTCAATGAGAGCACCTGCCGAACCTCCACTGGCGTGAGCCTCCAGGTCAGGTGGGACTGCACGTTGGCGCTGCAGATATCTTCAACTTCGGAGACCTGGAAGCAAAGCTTTCGCTCATGATGGATGTATGTATTTCTGCCCTCCAATATTTCCAGACCCAGGTTGGCCATGATGTTCCAAGGCAAGCACCATGCCAAGGCAAGCTCAGGAAGAGACTTACACTTTCAACATTCAACAGAAGCGCGATCTGAGTCAGTTTCGAAAACTTATCTCGTATACTCCAGCTGGCTATTTTCGTCAAGTAACCTATCAGAAATCGGAGCTCCCTATCGAACTGCATGCCTCCGAGCTGTAAGAGATCGAATAGTGAGCGGAACCGATCATGTCTCGGGCAAAGTTCGAGGACTGATACTTCATCTTTCATTCGCCCATACCGACCCGATTGTAGACTGCTTTCAGAGCAGCCTTCTCCAGAAGCTGGGTAATATCCGACGCCGCGAGTGCTACCAGCTGCTCGTGATTCTTCGGATTCAGAACCTCTTTGAAGGTATTTATTAACTGGTCTAAGTTCATCATGAACTGTTGCATGTAGGGTCTGAGACCATCGTCCGCTTCAAATTGCGCGAACTCCATCTGTAATGGATAAGATTTTAAGAGCTGGTTTGGTCGGATCGAGACTTTGTCGAGTCGGGCGACGATATTGTGCCATTCAGCGGGAGCGAGAACGCGTCTACGGCACCGCCGCTGCACCACTAGTACGATGAGGCCAGTCCGTGGGGAATCGTTTACCTCGGTCAGCTGATGGTTCGAAGTATGGAAACTATCGCAGCAGACTTTCACAAGGGGTCGGATCGCGGAGTTCGAGAGTTGGCCTATGCCGTTCGATGCCAAGGAACGCAATTTATTACCGGACTGTTGAAGATTCGTGAGGCATGTCTCGAGTTTAGCGCGATCTTGAGGAGTTCCACCAGGGAACCGTTTCGGACACTCAGCCTTGAAGAAAATAATATTTCCATAGAACTCTCGTCTATCGGTCGGCTGATCTTGCGGAGAGGATGCATTGATTGAAGCTTCGATCGAGGCCCGTCCAACGGATGCTACTCACGTTTAGAGCCCCAACCAGTGTGTTGATGTATTCGCACGCGGTTTCGAGATTGTTCAGCGTCACGATATACACGCCACGGTCGCGCTCCTGCTCGGCATGGCTTTGGATTTTACCCTGAATTATATTGAATGCATGGTCCATCATGGCCCCCGTGGGGAAACCTCGCTGAATTTTCTCATTCGAGGCCTTGTGGAACTCGCCCTCGATCATGGAACAGGTATGATTCAGCATCGCACAAGCCCCATCGATGGAAGAAGTCGAGAAAGCCCTCCGCAGACATTTTTTCAGCAGGAAAAATACGTCTTCCAGAAGAGACGACGTCCGGGATCCCTCTTCGTATGACTCGTAGTCAACCGCCTGGACAGACGAAAAAAAATTGACTCTCTATTAGAAGATCCATGACCGATGACCAGCTTTCCCCTCAGCGCTGAAATATCCAGGGTACCCATGAAGCGGCGAGCACAGGGTTCCCGCACACGAGGATTGGGAAACTGACCTTCTTCACCGACTCAACCATGAAGAACTCTTCGAGACAAATGTAGTAGCTCGTGAGCTCTTGCATGTCTTTGCACAGATCACAGGTAGATATCCGGGACTCGAATTCCGCGATTTTCGCTGCCTTCGTTTCAGGTGGGAGGTTTGATTGCTCAAAATCAAGCTGCGAATCAGAGAATTTAATGGAATTATCCGATTCGCTGAGATTCGATGGGTCTATATTCCACGGATGTTTTATCGGAATAGCGCTCCAATAATGGTTCAGATCTAGGGAAAATGTGCCGCTGATGATGCAGGTTCCTTGGGGAAAACTCACATTGACCCTTCGCTTGATGAATCGCAAGTAAAGCTCCGCGTGTTTATGGATGAGCGACATTTCCTCGAGGATTGCATCGATTTCTTTGGTTTCGCTGAGGGAGTCCTGTACGAGGTTACCGGAGCTGGAGTTCCCGCGCAAGCTCGATCTCTCGACGCTGCCTTTTATCACGATGTCCTGAGCTTTCTTGCACCGTCTCGCCAAAGCTCGCATCGAGAGCAACTCCTGGAAGATCCGTCGTTGTTGGACGCAGCATTCTTTGTGAAGGATCTCGATGAGCTGGTGGATGTGTCCATGAGCTGAAGGGAGGAACAATGGCGAGAAATCATTGCTCTGCGCGGAATTGTCTGCCTATCGGGCACTGAAGCGCCTCCGTCCAAGGACCTGCAGAATATTCACCATAATATCGCTCCACGAGAGGTTGGTGTATCTCCACAACTCGCGCGATATCTTCGAAGAGCATACTGAAGACGTCTGCCAGGACAATGTGGTAGCGTTTGTCGTTTTTCGTGAGTCCTTGAGCTTTCCGAAGAGACTGTACCGCGTTTTCGGTGACTTGCCGGCACAGATAATTAGAGTACTTTGTTAGCCCTTCGTTATGTTGATTGAGGAGAGGGAATATCTTGAAGAATCTCTCAATCGACGCTTGATCAGCACATGACAACGCTTCGTTGAATCGTTGGCGCACGATCTCTATGAGAGTCTGCTGAGCTTCTGTCAATTGAGCGAAAGCTTCTTCAAGACTTGATCCTTCCTGGATGTCGACACAGGATCGTAGACCGCGTTGATCCAAACCTGCAGGACAATATTACGTGATGGCGAGTTCAGTCCTCAGAGAGCGGGGCTCAATTGCCCGAGCCATGAGGATTAAACAGAAGAGAAGCAAATACCCAAAAATCTATGCACGTGTGCGGCGGCCTGCTCGTAGTCCTCATTCTGAAGCGCTGTCTTCACTCCGTCGGTGCAAGCTTTCAAGTCCATTATATCGTCGACTCGCTGGAGACTCTGAGCCACCATCGACTGAAATGAAAAGATGGATGATTTCGGATCCATGTTGGTGTAAACAGCTCGGAACGTTCGTGGGATCAGCAAGATCCGATCGGAAACATACAGATTCCAAATAAGGCCTACCTTGGCCAAGTCGAGCTGTTTCACTTTTCTCGAGATGTTTTCCGCTAGGGAGGCAGTGTAGGTGACGATTTTGTTCAGCTCCTCTGTGTCGCTGTTCACCAATTGGAACGATGGCCTACGGAAATTAAGAGTCGATATCGACTCCGTGCAGAGAATGTTCTTCCGAGCTTCTCCACGATAGCTTTCACATCAAGATCGTCCATGGGGAATAGAAGTACTTCGAGGAGGCTCATGTAATGGTGGGGGGTAGCCCCGGTGATACTTACATCAACTTATGGATTTTTTGGATTCTTTGATCGATATCGCCGTGGCTGAGGAGGAGTTCTTCGAGGCGAGCGCATGTTTCTTCCTAATTGAAAAAAACGTATTTATCCCCTGGAGCCGAAAAGACCTTATGAGCATTCGGATGCATTGCGCATGTTCATCGAGAATCCTCCACAAATTTTATATCGAGATTGAAAATTTCAGAAGCATACGATTCTCAGGCGCTCACTACTCAGACAGGAGATTCGACCCTCTCGAGATCAGCTGTTCGAAACCGATTCGAAGGGAGAAATCGATCAAGAGGAACCAAGAGAGAGAGACGCCGTCTGGCAGCGATATTCGAAAGTCCCTAGATCGAGTGACAGTATTTCCCGATATTTCGCTGATTTCTTCGACTTCGGTCCGTCGGGTTTCTTCATGTATTTCACACCGTTCGCTGCCACATCACACTCACCTCTTGTTTAGAAAGTTGTTTCAGTGTGCTCTCCGCCTCTTCCAATTCCTCGCACATTTCCATTTTACTGTCCGGACTGCTCGGGCACTCCCCGAGAGATGAATCAGTCTCGGCACGGAGTCCCTAACTAGACTTCGATCAAAAAGTCTCCCGGCTTCAACCACCGACTTCGTTCTATGTCCCCCGAGCCGTTTGCCAGTGGTGGAGAAGAGAATATTAGGAAAGTGACAGAGTTGTCGTCTGCTGAGAACGGATGGATGCATCCCACGCAGCCGCTGGTGAATAGCGATGTCGAAACTCACTACCCACGATTCTAGCTCTCAACCCCTCAGGATCGGATCTTCCCTCATTCCGATCGCAGAGCCCTCTCTGGAAACACCGCAAACCGACCGGATAGCTCATCCCTTCGCGAGGTTCAGGGCTTGAGCTGAAACTGTTCGGAGAAGCACAAGCCTTGTCGAAGCGCAAAATCGAATCGCCAAGACCTAGACCTCAAGCCCGGAAATCTCAAGTCCTTACCGACTATCGAATTTTTCTAGTCAATTTGTGAAACGATGGAATACCGCTTATTCCTGGGAGCGATCGGTTCTCTCATCCGGGGCAGTGGCCCGCAGAGAAAGCGGCGGCGCGAGAAATTGCACCCCATCGTCTTTAGGGGAAAGCTATGGACAATGACTGAGGATTCGTTCGCTGCGAATAAATCCTATCGGGAGCGGGGGAACTGGAATCTGTCTCCAGATGATAGGGTGGAACCGAACCTCAGGCGTTAAGCCGATGGCGAGACGACACTGTCACTATCGAACGTGCTGAATTTACATGGAAATCGTGTCGTCAGTCATCGGCGGGATAATTACAAAACGAATACGTGAGCGGAAGGTCCGGGTGAGAATCTAAACCGAAATCATCGGGATGCACAAAACTTATCGCCACCAAAACACCCACCGGACCTGGTTCTCAGAATGGCTTCGAGACACAAGGGAACGATGCGTGTTTCAAGGGCGTTCCGCGAGGAATCCAACATTTCATCAGACTCGGAAGAGAAACATCCTGGCCGACGGTTGCAGCATCCGGATGTGTTCAGCGCGCTACGCATCCTGGTCAGTCTTGCTCTTACCGCTTGTTTCCTCTACCAATCTCTCGGTACCCTGCGCCTGTATTTGATGTACCCCACAACGATGGACGCCTCTACGGAAGGTTTGGAAACTTTGAAGTTCCCTGCTGTCTCGATCTGCATCACAAATTGGTGAGGGAGCAAGGAACTCGTTAATGGAGAGACGAGAAGACTCACTTTTCGTCAAGAATCACGCTCGATGGTATTCTCCCTGACCGATACGGATCTTGCGCCTTTCATTCAGGGTGAACAAAACCTTGCTGTGCGTTAAATATCGTCAGTTTTGTAACTTCGAACCGAGTATGGTCAGTATCTGTTTGTCGAATCCGTTGGGAAGCGAATCGACAATCGCCCGAAATACGATATCTCACCAGCACGCTCCCCCATCCAGATACCACAACTCCGAGCATTGCTCAATTCCGCTGGGAACCTGGGCGAAATCGCCGCGAGACCGAAACGAATCATAGAGACGAATTTCGAGGACCCATCCCTCTACTACTACCGCTTCGTCTACGAAGACGAGTCAGTACAGAGCTGGAAGACTGACGGAGACTGGTGGTTTCGCGTGTCTTGAACAGCGAGCATGTTTCAGGCAAATCCAACAGACCTTCTCTCGGCTTCCCAAGTACATGTGCTATACCCTGAATTGGAGAGGAAACTCCGAAATGGATTCCTACCACGAATATCCTCCTTTATTCGGTGGGTCGTCGCTGTATCGCGAGCCTGAAAAGTGTCCCTACACGATGGTCGACCTCTCGAGATCGATATACATCATGGTCGATATCATTCGTTGTCAAGGCTGTTCTTGTGTGGAAAATAATCACGTCGACGGCATGTTTACTCGATTTCCAGAGTTTTCCATGTACATCCAATGGCGAACAGATCAAATCATCGTTCTGGACGACTTCGAAGTTACCATGGACTTTCACTCTGTTTTCGTGTTGAGCGCAGGAGAAGTTCACACCATGATACTGAAGCCGAACGGTAACTACGAGTACAACACGGAACAAAGTGTGACCCGCTTGCTGCCGCCCCCGTATGATACCAAGTGCATGGATTACGAAAGACTGGGAGAGCACCCTCTGTATCCAGCTTTTATGACGCAAACTGTAAGTGCGGATCCTGAGCAAGTCGGAGTTAGAATCAGCTCATTCGGACGAATTAATCTCGGAATTGATATCGGTCTTACAGCTGTGCAGTTACGAATGCCAGCGTCAGATAACGAGGGACATGTGCAATTGCACGCCGACGGGATATCCGTTCAGGAACAAACTGAGCGAGAACGTTTGCACAGAACAAGTCACTGGTAAGACCTAGGACAGAGCCAATGGGGTCGTATTGGGTCTTGCTCGGATCGGTTCGGTCTCGGCACGGCTTTGGACCTGAAAACGTATCACCCACGGCTGACGACGAGCTCTGAAATCGCGAAACCAGTCGAGCTCCCAAGTTATTCATACCTACTATATCATACGCAAATCTCATCACCGTCCTCAGCCGATTGCGTCCTGACCTTGAGCAAGGCTCGCTACAATGTCGAGTGTCCGAAACGATGTCAACCCCCTTGCGAGTGAGTGTATCATCCTCAGGGTTGACGAATAAGCTCAGTGCGTTTTTTCACTCTAGCTAATATGACACTGTTCTTCAAGGGAGACAACCTACAATACGATACTGGGATACAACGGCAACGACAACAGCAGCCGAATTCGAGAGTAAAGTCATATATAATACGTACAACAGCTATCTGGCGTGACAAAGCACCCTCATCCTCCTCCTCCTTCGTCTCGCTATTGCTCCTTCCGTCGACTGTATACGAGCGGCGCGGAGCCAGCGACCCAGTGAACGAGATCGGCTCCTTCTATTGCAGTCTGCGCTTCGTCAACGTCAAGATTATCATGCCGACTCGATCAGTGAATATACTCCGAGCGGTTCCCCAGCTCACTACCACCAATGCATTGGCCATCTTCGGTGGATATCTCGGTATTTGGCTGGGCCTTTCTCTTCACTCCATCCTACGCATGACGGTTCTCAACATCTTCAAGAAGATCGTGCGGGTGGCGGATGGAATCCATCTGACGCTTGCGTGAGTCACGAATGTCAGAAAATTTAATCATGCACTAAATCCTCCTTTGGAGCCGAACGATGTGCCTAGCTCACTGACCCCACCAATGGGACTGTTTCCACAGCCTAGCCTGCCTCGGACGGAGCTTCCTGGTGGTATCTTTCGTCTTGTGCGCATGCGTGTGTACGATGCAGTCGCTACACGATCTGAAATTCTACTTCGGTTACCCTGGTCAAGTACAGCACTTGCAGGAGCGAATGAAGTCGATACGGTTCCCGGCGCTCTCGATCTGCGTCGAGAGGGGCTACAATTTGACCGCTTTATGTGAAGCCTTTCCTTACATGGACTGCGCGGACCAAGACGGAGTGAGGTTTTCTTGGATTCTTCAATGCTCTATGCTGAGAAATATCATAGGGACCTTCCTTATCAGTCATGGTTTTTCTCCCGACCATACCGAAGTTACTCCGTGATTACAGCAACGGATCATTGGTGCCTATCTCGAAGAGACTAAAAGACTGCTCAAGTTTGCCTATCCGAGAGATCGTATAATTTTCGACTGCGACTTCATTTCTGAAGACCCAGCGTGCTCTTCGTTCAGCTGTGTCGATGCGTGAGTTTGCCTTTCTAAGAACGCCTCATTTGCTCAACTTCCCCGGATCGAGACAATGTTAACCAATTTGCTTTTAACGCATCGATCCAATCGGAGAAATTCCAGTTGGGAACCATCCTTCACGAGATATATCGATAACGTCTGCTGGACCTTCGACGTTAACCGGGAGGGAAAGAAATTAGATCACCCCCTCGGGAAATGTCCAGCGCCCTGGAAGTACTGTGGGTATTTGTGCTTCATTTAGAGCCTCTGAGTCTCGATTTATGTTTCTGTTTCTCCTAGAATCAATGACTGCCGAGAAAAGGTGATTTACAATAATTTCTTTTTAGTTCAATTGTTTTCTTTTATAGCTGAAAAAGACTCGTGTCCGATATCTTCTGACACATTCCGTGAATTCGGCATGCGATTCGCTTTCCAGACCTGAAAACAAGTTTCTCGACGAGTGTCCAACCACTGAAGGAGAGAGCTTTTGCATCGGGCCTCCTGCATGAGCCCGGCTCTACCGCTGCTTCAAGCAGACCTACAATGAGATTTCGAGCAGGCGACCGATACCGAATCGCAGCGTTCCAGGTGAGAATGCTACGAGCCACCGATCGTCTGAGTGATCGGATATGCAAAATCGCCGGAATGAGTCGCATTGAACAAAGTTTTCCCCCCTCGAAAAGAGCGATTCCCACTCGCTACCGAAACCCTACGAGTCCCAATGCACGGACTACGATCGTCTAACGAGTCGGAGCGCATACTCTTCGCGGCAGATTCAGCCAGATGAGTGCGCGGAGCGATGTCTGATGGACAAATGGTTCGATGCGTGCAAATGCATCTCGAAACTCTACGCTATGAAACATCTGCTGAAAGCGCCGATGTGTGACATTTTCAGCCACAGTGAGTTTCAGCCGACGATAATCGAGAAATCAGCACGCTCATCAGAGCATTGTAACTCATTGTCCGTCGGCGAAGGGTGAACCTGTCTACGATGGAAAGACCCAATGCTCTTCCTCTGATACTTTCAGTCCAGTGCACCACCGTGATGAGATCGAAACGATGGAGACAATCATGTTCGCAAACTTGCTCCTTGCCTTGTTCGTGAGTGTCCCATTCGATGCGACTAGGTTTCATTCGGGAGCTCCCGATTCTTCTCGACGGGAAAGAAATTATTGGAAGGTCGAAATTCAGATATCGCTCTTCAACTTCATTCCAGAACATCCCGATACAGGGCCGAAGTTTCGAAAGTGGGCGGCAGGCTCCGCAATGCTTCACGTCCAAATGAGATCAGATTCGAAGTGCGAATGGCGTCAGATTTGACGAAAATCGTGCGGAGCTATCCCCGCATCGATGTACGTTACGTTCAGATAGGCCGAAGTCTTCCCATGCTTTCCCGATGCGTTCGCGAGGGGCAATGATCCGCTGATTGATCAAAGTAGCGGAGCATGATTGAGTTGCCACGCGTCTCCGATCGCAATCACGGGACTTGCAAGTTTTTTGCCGCAAGGTCAGCGAAGGCCATCTTTTCGAGTGGCATAGCCCCCGATGAGTTGCGTCGTCGGCAACTCCTCAGCTCGCGACCCCCGTGCGGAGCCCATCCGTGACCCCGAGTCACATGACCTACGTGCTTGAGGCGCGGAGGAACGAGCTATGAGTGGGATGCGTTTGCGAAACGTGAAGGTCATGACCTCCACTCGGATGCGAAAGATCTCGGGGGACTTTCACCGTATTTCGGTCTTTGGGCGGACCCCCGGTGATCCGATTGCGCGGCTCTTTGTTAGGTTGCGAAGCTTCCGGCGGACAGAGCTAACCTAGAGAAAGCTACATCGTATGTGAACTTCAGAGTCGGTCTCGGAACTTTGTTCCAGATTCTGCAGCAGGAGCCCGCTGCCAGTCACGGACCGTGAAGCGAGCGAGTGGGAGCTTGATATGAGTTGAAAATAAACTTTTCAGGCTACCGACATCGTATCGATCCTCGAAGGCCACATAGGTCTGTGGCTCGGAGTCTCCATCCTGGAAGTGGTTTCGAGCATCATCAAATACTGGACATCGTTCGGTCGATCCTTGTCCTGAATAATTATGCTCGTTGTCATGTCCATTGTATGTACATCAGGTCCGGAATCGCAAGGAATTCTCTCCGGGACGGAGCGAGCTCTGCATAACAACCCACAACGCCGAAATTGCGTGATCAAAGCATGATATTCTCGAAATATTCATAAATCTTGAAGTCTGAGAATAATTTAGTGTTCGCCGATCTGCATCCGAACACAGATCGAAGGATCTCGTTCGCGCGAGGGTAGATTCATAAGGGCATTCCGCGCGGAGGACACCCGGAGAAAGTTATCTAAGTAAGACACTACGCTGGTGAACAACTTCCGGGAATGGTCGATCGCCGGGAAGCCGAGACTTCCGTTGGGATCGATAGCCTCCCGCATGTAATTTTCGCATTTCTCTGAAAACGGGGTCGTCCACCCCGAGCCTCTGTTGTCATAGAAACATGATGAAACAGGTCAGCTTGGACTTCACTGAGACTTCTCGCAGCACTCGAGCAATTGAATGCGGCGGAGAGACGTCCGCTCGTAGCAATATCGCCCTAGACATCCACGAGTGCGCGTGACCCGCTATTTACAGTGACCTCGGGAAATCAAGGCTCTGGTCTCCTTGACAAACAGATCTCCATCTGCGTTGAGCTTCGGAGCTTAGGCGTCTGACCAAGAATGAGCGAAAGCGTTTGGGTTCGTCACCTTCCACTGAGACTCATGACGAATCTCTGCTTTTGAAAGCCTCCACGGAACGACATCTTTCACGTTTTGAAACCTTGCCTCGCAACGAATCGAGCGGGAACAACGGAATGACTGGTTTGTTGACAAACGGTCTGGCATCAGACTGACGAGAAACGATCGGCGAGTTCTGGTGAGCGGTGAGAGAAGTTCGCGCTTGCCACTACCGACGCCGCGGGCCCACCAGAGCACGAAGTGAGCTGCAGCGGCGATCGCATTCATCTTCGGAAAGTGGGAATAAACACACAAGTGGCTGCAGAACTCCAAAAAATGACAACGGTGTCGCCTACAGAGGTGAGTCCCTCATTCCAGGAATTTCGAGCCGGATCTCGCACCGCCGAACACTCCCTGCAGGAGCTTCGAGTAGGATCGGCTGCGAGAAAGGAGACGCTCTAATGGTTCTGATAGTGAATTCTCGAGCATGGTGAGCAAGCTGATTGCTAACATTAAGATTAGGGGTTCCTGTATGTCACACTCTCCTGGGAACTCTCGATGCTCGGCAATAAATAAATGAATATATCCGCTTCCATCCGGTCGATTGTGGCCGAAGCAGGGACGGTGCTTCGTACGCAAACGCGGGAGGTGCTCTGGAGCGCTACCGTCCAGAATGTGTCGTCATCTGAAAGTTTGTTAACCTATGATAAAGGAGACTTCTATTCTCGTTGATTGACGTCACGAAGAGCAGTGCGACTCCAAATGTCTTCAACCAAAGCCAGCTCATTTCATCCCAATCTTCTTTTCCGAGAAACGGTAGAAAGGAGCCCAAATCTGGTTGTTTGTCTGCGTTGCGTGCAACACTCGGTTCTCAAGAAGTTCTCGATCCGCCCGGTGGAAAGAGGCGGATATTCTGCCTCGGTTTTCCCCCTGGCTGTAGCGCGGAATTCGGGAAGCAAGAGAGAAAAACCGCCTCCCTCAGAGGATCAGGGAAGGACTTCGACGACTGCCTTGGGTTATCTCCCATCGGCGCCACCACGAGAAGAAAATATCATTTCTCCACCATCATCAGTCAGATTATTACTCACAATTATTCGACAATCGTAGGGCTTCCCTTGAACCACGTACTCATGTATTTGCGGTGGGGGCCAAATCAAGACTTTCCAGGCTCCCGAGACTTGTCGGAGATCTCCTCGCCTCGGAGAGCTCGGAGTTCGATCGAGCCTAGCGGGCTCAATTCGTCGCGGTAATTTCGGCGACCGGCAAAATTGTCCTCCGATCGAGGACGCGCCCGCTTTCTTCTCTTCGGAAAGAAGATCTGCTTTCGGAATCGGTCAGCGTCTGTTCGCGGGAATCCGGATCGCTTCGCTGGCCAGCGGGATTCGCGAAGCAAAACGTTTGCGGCCTTCGACTTCCGTGCCTACTTCCGCCAATGCCCCGACAGATAATTCCTGATCTGATTTCTCTCGTCGACTTTTCCACGCCGTGCAGCAGAACACTTTCATCGCTCCGTGAAATGTCGGTGATCCCGACGATCGCTTCGTATTCTTATTACTCATTTATTTTATGTATCAGAGCTCGGATCACTACTCATGATAAACACAGGGTACGCACCGAGCTGCGATTCTTGTGCAGGAACCCCGGGTCATCAATTCGAAAGATTTTAATTCGCTCAAAAGTGCAGAGGTCAATGTGGTAGCATCGAGAGTGCATAGGCAATGATGGACCTTTGTCAGGGAAACTCAGATTGCATTAAACTATTCACGCGTACCCAAGAGCAATTAGTCCTCCTTAGTCCCGGCATGGTCACTAAGAGCAAACGAGCTTCCGCCTCACCGAATGCTTTGTTGACCACTGCCTAGCTTGATTTGCGGTCTCGAGCGACGTGGAAGAGCATGCTAATTTGAGCCGGCTCGGCGCAACAAATGTCAGATCCGGGAGGTCCTTACAGCGGACCTTGACGGTACCGCCGACCTATTTCGGTGAGATATGTGTTCGGAAACCAATCGATTCCTCGCTCGAGGTCCAAATGAATCGAACGGAGAATTCTGATTCTCTTATAGCGGCGACGTCGAGTCATGCGAATCATGGATCGAAGTCTCGAAGGCTTCGCTCCGCAGACACAAACACAACAGCTCGCTACGGCCTATTCAAGGCTTGCTTCGAGCCGTTGCATGCTGCTCACCATACCTCCACTTCGAAGTCTTGTTCGGCCGAATGGCTAATACGCAAGGAGCTTGGAGCGCCAAAGTGAGTTTGTCTGTGATTTGTGTCTAAGGACGTCGCGGAAAGTTTCTGGGTTGTGGTGCGCACCGGTCCGTCAAGTCGCCATTAGAGAGGATTCGGATGGGACGGCGGTCGACTCGACCGGGATGGCTTGGCAAAAACTTGGCACCGAGTGCCTCGCGCAGTGTTTTCGAAAGTGTAGCAGAATTTTCGGACAGAAGCCTTCGATTCGGGATGTGATACCTACGATTCGAATCGAATGTTCCGAGGTAGTTTAGGGAGGGATTTTTATGACCGAGTCGCCGGAGTTCTCCGACGGATCTCTTATCGCCTCCAAGGGTTTCAATTTCGTTCCGTTCATTGCAGCAGAATGAATCCAAGGGCGTTGGTGGCTTCCTGGACGCCAATGTGTACGCCACCAAGAAGTCCATTGCGCAGGGGATGCTAGACGTGGCTTTGCTCACGGCGAATGCCTCACAGCTCAAATATCTACTACAGGTAAACAGTATACATGCACTTATGCCTCGAGTGATGAAGGATTTGAAAATCATAGATGGGATGCGGTCGTAAATAACTTCCCAACGGCCCGGAGACGAACTAAGGCGTCGGAGCTATTTCTCACCAAGGCGATTTTGCAGGTAGGACACAAGCACGAATTCTACACCATAATGGTCTCATTGATCGCGACGTCGATCATACTGCAAGTAAGTTCGCCGCCGATGTCGATTCCTAGAAGTTCAGGTATCCGGAGCGAGAAGCTTCGATGTTCGACCGGGCAAGGACGACAGATCTCGAGGGGAGTGACGTGGGTTTTGTGCAAAATTCTCTTCTCGTTTTATTGCCGAAAACTATCCCTTTGGAGGATGTCCTCTTCCGATTCCCTCCGGCGAGTTCGGCTGAGCGGGCTCCGCTCTGAGACTTTGACATTCTCCCTCGTCTCTGGGAGTTTTCAACTTCCCTGGTGGTTCTCCTACTTCTGCTCTCTGCGCAAATTTCTAACTCGACGTCACTCTCCTCTAGATCCTGATTGGTCTCGTGCTGGTGGTGAAATACAGATTCAACATCAACAAGCAGCACCAACAATGGTATGCGAATGCGCTCAACAACATCCTCGTTTGGATGATTTTCGGCGCCACACTGTGCAACGTTTTCATCTCCGCGTTCGGGATCGATCCGGTTCGAGAAACCCCGGCCGACACGAAAACACCGAGTCAATAAGCTGCTTCTGACATGCGAATCGACCGCTGAATCTCCGCGCAAACCCGACTCTACACTTTGCAATAGAGTATGTTATGCAGAAGCAATCGCGATGCAGTTAATTCAGAGGAGTCTGAGCCGTCACTGTAGGGTCAGAAGGTTGAAGCCAGGAAATTGGGATTGATCGACCCGAACGCGACAATAGGTTGACCCGACGAGAACAATAGGCACAAGATGAATTCAAAGAGACGGAACCGAATGTCACCGTATCCGGTCTCGAGCATAAAACGCGTATCCATCGGCACCTATTGACATCACATGACATATGAGCTGTTTCACCGGGGTCGGTTGTCAAGACAAGCGACGAGCGATCAACGATAATATTAATCAACGGATCCAGGCGGTGACGATTGTCTCAGTGCGATACGATCATGCTCTCGGTGCTCTTCAAAGGAGACGAAGATGATGATCCGCTGAAGAAGTCGATTCGTCGGAGAACCTTTCGGAGTTATGTGCTGGAAATGCAAAGTATGGGACTCCGAAAACTATGGCAGGACCTCCCTACCGAGGTACTCTCATCTTGAACACGTGGTTTCGCTGAAAGTAATTATTCTGATGGGAGATTTATACTCTTACAGATCCTGGTCGGAGCGTTCATTGTCATACTGGGCACAGTCAACTTGAACAGGGAAAAGAATCATGTGCGAGCGAATGTCCTCAACAACATGGTCACGATCTTCATTTTCATTATAACTGTTGTAAATATTGTAATTTCCTCATTCGGAATGAAAGGTTCCGACACCCCAGCATTTATCGGATCGACCGCCGCCTAGGTGCTCGAATACCGAGAGCCCGGAGGCTAGCGCTATCAACACTTGGTAGACTCCGAGTTTTCGAGCTCCCCCGGAAAATCGAACGAATTAAGTAGACTTCGAATTCTTACCATACGTGATCGAGCGTTTGCATCCTAGAGCAGATCACAAAAGGGACTCTTTCTGAGAAAATCGAGGTGGAATGCGGTTCTCTAATTGACTTGAGAAGAAGAAGAAAAACGGAGAGAGCCCCTACAACTGTAAATCGGTAGCGGATTATTGATTTTTCGGTGAAGCTTCACAATTTGTAACACGAGCCTGAATTATTCCAATTCGAGTCGGCGCATGTACAGAGACCGCTGGAAATGCTCGGATCGAGGACAGCCGGACCTGAGACGTGGGCCGCAGCGGAAACCTCATCGAGCTTAATCTGTAAAAATCGCCTCGTCCAACACGGAACGCTCAAACGCATATCTCGCGACTCACGAATCATTTTATGGAGATCACAATAAATGAATGAAGATTATTGATGATCTGAGCTTCTGCTTCCGATTGGGGGAGTCTTCACGGGGTCTTGTGTAGGATCCCAGTGTCGTGAATACAAGATGATAATTGATCATCCCCGGATTTCGGAGCTCTCCGGAGCCTGGTTCCTCGTGCCGCGGATCGAGTCACCATTAGCTCGGCGTCCCGCCTGAATCTGCTTTCATCTGGCTCTGTCTGGCGAATTCGCCCCTCGTCGAATCGTAAGAAACTCTCGTTTAAGGAAGAGCCCTGTCGATGAAACGAGCTCCGAAAACTTCCGGAGGAGAAGAATCGATATACTCTAATCTGCTTTCACGTTTACCGCGAACCTATTCAGAGCATCAGCACCCTTTCGTCCAGTGCTCGCTCTGTTTTCACCGGAGCAGTCCGGAAGCAGGCATGGAAAGCAAAACGAGCAGAGCCGCACAAACGTAAACATAGCCTAAAGGAAAACACAAGATTCTGCCATAAATACACTTGTTCGCTGTTATATTCGTTGCTCTGGTCACGTGCCTGAATCCGTGGGCGAACTCGCGCGCACACACACACACAATCACAAACACACGAATGAGGGAGAAGTTCCGGAGTCTCTGCAGCGCTCAAAACCATCCGGGAGTCGAACACTGGTGAGAATGATCCGTCCCGACTTGATTCTGTACATTGCGAAAATCACCATTCGAGACCCGATTTCGGTCGCTCATGGGGACCGCATCGGCCCCTTCATCCCCATTTTTCATCGATTTCCGCACGCTCCCAGCGCCTTAGGAGCAGCTGTCTACATATATTTGAGACGATATCGCTCGGAACACTACTTACGACCCGGGGATTCCGGTCGTCGGTGTCCCTATTGACAGCTCTCTGTGGGTTGAGCTAATCATTCGAAAGCACACAGAACATTCTTATAGTCACTCATTCCGCCTGGCGATGCACTGTTCTCTCAGAAGGCAGTGATAAGAAGCATTTCGGAGAAGAGAACTCGCTTCGGAACTCACAGTTTCTCGCGTGTTCTTTCGCATGCGTGCGTCGTAGGATTGACGCGCAAGCTCGACCGAAACTAATGGCGTTCGGCGTCCATCTGCCCGGCTCTAGACATTCTATTTACAGTTATTGGCAATGGGTACTCGAAGGCTGGAGCCGGTTCGGCCGCAGCCCACTTCTCCCCAAGACCTCGGAAGCGATACCCTGTTCGCGCATTGGAGTATTTTTTGTTTTTTTTCCCGGAGGGAGTCATGTCGCATACGTCGCTCCCATGGTTCCCCTTCTCTGTTCTCCGTATCGATGCATATATCATATGATATTCGAGAAGAGATATCGGCAAGCCAGCGATGACTCATGTCGTATTATCAATTCCCCAGAAATTAATTGGACCGAATTTCCTCATCCCCTCAATTAGAGTTCCTGGTTCTCCGCACATTCGGAGAATGAGCGAATGATCGATCAGTCAGTCAGTCGGTCGAGCTGCTACTCCATTCGGACCACGAGGAAATGTTCAGAGGAGTTGGCTACAGGTTGTCAGCAGAGAGCGATTCAAACCAAGGTTGATAACTGAACGATGTGACCATGGAGAGTTTTGCCGTTGTTATTGTTGTCGTTCCCCTCTTGAACGGTTAGATTCCAAACGTAGACGTTGTGAACCGATGAGAGTATCCAGACCACAAAAACAACACCGACGATTCCCAGCGATGCCGGGAGCGGTATATTCAGAATCAGGATGCTACCTGGAACGGAGAAAAAACACAATATATCACTCTGGGAGACCAGGATTCGATGTATCCCCTCGACAACTCTCCGGCCCATCCCCGAGAGCCGAATACGGAAGTGCAGAAAATGATTGAGGGTGAGAAGCCACAGATCTCGTGACATTCGAAGGCCCTCCAAGCATGTCGGATAAATGCGAGCTCTGCGATCTGGGTCATTTTCGGAGGGAAATTGTTGCTCACCCGTGAGGAAGAATGGCACACTCAGCAGAAATGAAGCCACGGCGAGGTTCCTGCTACATGAAGCTTCCCTGAGATAAGCACTGCTGCCGGTCGTTAAAGCCAACATGAGCTGCAGACAGCACACGAAGAGGCAGTAGAGATCGAGACACATCGACAGTATCAGCATGCAGACGCTGAGCACGTTGCGGAGTCCGCGCTCCGTGGAAACGTTGGTGTGCTCGAGCGGTCGCATGACCGACGCCGATAGTATGCACATGAGAACAGAGAGCATACACAGAAGCGAAAGCGCATGATGATATGTCGATGTCAACAGTGATGAATTGATGGCAATGGCCCCAGCCGCAGAATTGTTGCTCGTCGTCGCCGTAGTAGGAGCCGTCGTCGAGATATCTTTCTGAGTTGTGGTGTTGTTGTCATGGAGGAGACTAGATTGACGGGTATGGTTTTGGTTGTTCGGAAACGTCGTCATGAAACTGTGGGACAGTCGGGAGACCGAATGGGGCGGCAATTGACCCACCGAAGGGTGATGCCCGTTGGGCAGGAGCGAGTGAGATTTGTAGCCTGCCCCCGGATGGCCCGGATGGATACCTCCGATAGAACTAGCCGATAACGACATGCCGTTTCCGGTCGGAGCTGTCTGACTGTGAATGAGGTATGGTCTCGAAGGTGGCCGCGATATATGCGTCGCTGGAAGATGGATGTGGGGCTCGGAGTACTGCGTCAGGGTGGTGGCCGCATGATGCTGTCCTCCGGGGTCGAAACCGTGAGACATTCCCAGGGATTAGAACGCGGACCTCAGAGCTGGAATTGAGAGAAGAAACTCGGTTAGTGATCGCTGTCCTGTTCTCTGCTGTCCGAAATTCATAACTCATCCGTTCAGATCACGCATTTTTTCTCTTCAGCTAGAGTCTCGTTCGTACTCGGCTCCGGTTGTCCGGAACCGTCCCGTTGGTGTTTCTCTTTCGTCACTCCTACTGTTTTCCTCTCGTCTCGCTCATTGTGCACGCGGTAGCGACACGGGAGCTAGTGAACGGAAGCGCGAAAGATGTAAAGAACAGTTTCTGTTGTCAGAAATGATCGTAATCGTTATCGCTATTCGTAGAAAGCTTCTAGATATCCAGAAGGCTCGTTCGCCAACGGCAACGCTCGCGGCGCCGCATCGAGGAACATGACCGGCAGCTGTTCTTACAGTCGGTTATGGGGGCACCAGCAAAAACCGTTAATCGAGGACTTGTCTGCCTGCCACCGCGTGGGAATAGGATGAGGGGATAAATCGGTCAGGAATCATCTTTCGCAGAGCTCCACGTTTGTGTCACTCGTGTGGTGAAGTTGAGTCTGACTGACTGACTGAGTGACTGGTTGGACGGCTGCTTGGCCCGTAGGTCGGCATCATCGGTTTGCTTTGCTTCGGTTCAGTTCAGTACACATTCGGTCTGTCGCTGCCGCCGCGTTTAAGCCGTGTCGGACAAGGAAAATCCTACGCGTACCGAACGCGGGACATCATCACGCCGAGATGTGGACCGCCAAGAATAGACATACGCGCAGTGCTTGACTAAAAAGGAAGAACTTTGACAGCACGCGGAAGTCCGGATTTTCGTTCCGACGGATGGCAAATATCATTTCTCATCCATTCAAACTTCGGATTTTTCACCTCTCGTATAAAATTGATGGAATGCATGTCGGCTCATGTGAACGTTTTGTGCGGAGTCGATTTACGACGAGGCGCGCGCGCTCAAATCAAATTGTCGATTCCAAGTTTGGAGTCAATTATGGGGTCGACAGATCGTCCAAAGGTCGTTTGCCTTCTACCCTCCGCTAACGTCGTCGACATCGCCGTCAAATTCCAACGTAGTATGCTTTTGTACGAACACGGGTCACACCGTAGGTGCCGCATGTTTTTTTCGTCTTCTTCGGCTGCTCCGTCGCTGGATTCGCTTTATTTTTGTGGCTCCGAGAATCGCCTGTCTGTCATCTCTACAGACGCCTGTACATCTTGCTCGGACTACTGAGAAGCAAGTCGTAAACAAAACCGAGGTGGCAGGACTGCCAAAGCAGCCGAGGGGTGAAGGAGGGTTTTCTGCGGCCGAAAAAAAATTCAAAACGCTCGCTACAAAAGACGCCGGCTGAGGCTTGTTCGGAAATCGAAACAAAAATAACTCTAGATAAGGGACGACGAGGCGTTCGGGAATTTATGCCGGTGCGGCCGGTCCGATCATAAGTTTGGGACGGACTTCGCCGAGTCGGAAGCGCTCGGTCGCATACAGCAGCTCGAGCCAGATCACCGTAGGCGTTGTGGACTCTCCGATGGAATCAGGTCCGATGCGTATCGTTTACGGAAAAGGTGTTCCGTTAGCGTTTCCCTCGCCTGCTTGCTCGCGATTCTTCGCTCAGTCAGTCAGTGAGTCAAGTAGTCAAAGAGAGCGAGTAAGTGAGTCGAGCAGGTCGGCGAGCTAACAACGACATCATTTGGGTGGATCCCAAAGTTTTCTAACCGCTCCGCCGCTTTCCTGGTCGCGAAGCAGAACAAACAAGGGAAGACACGGATCAAGTAGAGGATTCCAAAATGTTGCCAATGCGACGGAGAAATGTTCTCGACGGGAGATTGAGAGAACTGACCTCTCAAGCGGTCGTTACCATGGAACGAAAGATTAAGGTCCCGGTGCAGATTTCGAGCTCGGATCCGAGAAGGCGAGATGCATCATCAAGAGGAAAGAAAGTCCGCACTGAAGGATTTCGTGAAGACACCGTTGAATCTTTCTCGACGCGATGCTTATATCGGATCGGTCGAGGAAACGTCAAGCTGAGCGGGAGCATTCTCGCGTCGTCTTGCGATGTCGTCAGCCCGTGCACTAATGCTCTAGATTTTTCCAATCCTCATGTTTCAGGTTGAAGGGCAAGAGCAGCGGACTGATCGATCTGTTGCTAGAACTCGGATCCAAGAACACCCAAAGATGATACATAAAATATGCGTGTTGTGGTGGAAAGTATGATGTGGTCGGACAAGATGTATCTTTCTTGCTAAGTCAATGTTCTCAGATATCAGAGAGTGCTCTCGGAGGCCTTGCCAGCGGAAATATCATGGACATCTCCAGGGACGGATCTGTATGTTCACCATGTTGCATGAGGAGCGCGCATTCTTCATCATCAGCTCGATAATGCGGTCCCAAAAAGGAACCGCTCATCGAGTTCAGCGCTGCGAGTCTTCAGAGACTTCGTTGTAGCCGACACTCGGACTTGTTCATCCTTGAAAATTATCATCAACAGAAAACAACATCAACGGCAGCGGCAATAATCACAACGACGGCGCCGGCCGCGTTGGCCAAGTCCGACTTGGTCACGCAAAAGAATTATTCACAATAAGCATTCTAGCGACCGTCATTCGTCTTCGTCGCGGAGACTGAAGATATCGAGGCGAATTCTGATAATCATCACGAGTGGAGTTTTGATTTTTTCATCCGCTGGAATTTCAGTGTGGCCTTCCTCTCATCTTTCTTTCACTGGTCGGCTGGATCGCTGCCTGACTTCCTTCCTATTGTGACAGCCCATTGTGTTCTCACGCTTGGCCGCATAGGGGGTTCGTTACAACATCTGCCTCTCGTCTACCTATGCGAGTTCGTCGTTGGATACAACCGTTCCAACAGCAGCAGAGCCAACGACAAGAGCATCTGCGCTCGAATACAAGTTCGCGGCCCGGCAGCGGAACCCCAGTGAACGACGCGGCGTATCGGAGCTAGTCAACTCGCATCGCCGGGCGTTTCTCTCGCGATAAGTTTCTCGTACTCGGTGCTTGTATGGGACATTGTTCTTGTTCGACTATCAGCCGAGCCTTTTCTGAAATCTCTCTTCGAATAGCGAGAATTCGCCCGATACCAATCGCGGCGACGACATCTACGAGTCATCGATAAGGGAAACTCACAGTTGCCAACAAGGCAACGAGCAGGGCAAGGCTCGGAATTCCGACAAATCCGGATTCGGGTCAGTCGTGGTGTGTATAAATGCCTGCCTGCCTGCTTGCTCGGCTGCCGGCGGATTCGATTCTGGTTCCGTCACCCGCAGGCCGATGAACGGTCAGAAGAAGAAACAAACATTCTTACCTCTCGATGGAGGAGCGATCGCGGTGTCATCGACGCTAGAGTAGACTGATCGCGGTATTCGCAAGTGAGGTCGTTGAAGACGGAGATGACCCTGGCGGGAACGCATCGCATGATTCCATCGAGTACGGTCCGTCAACTGGCCTCGGTGCAACCACCTGTATTAGGCAAACGCATCCTCGGGCTCACTGTCACGATCGAATTTCACGAATCGCTCACTGCGGGGAGCACATGTTCCCGCAAGATGTTGTTTACGGTTGTCGATCCACGCACGAATCGGCCGAACGATCGAGCGAAAGTTAGAACCTGCGGTCAGAGCCCGGCTTTGGCGGTTTTATGCTCGATTCGCTCCCCACTCCAGGTCGTTGTTCGCTCAATGGTTAAGCAGCTAAGAGTAGCTGTTGGCCCGCTGACTAGCTCTAGCTATCTAGCTGCTGAGTTTTTGCTCCTCCTTCAGCAGCAGCATCACCACAAGACTGCTCCGAACACCAAAAGGGACTATCGTCGAAATGAACGCGCCATCCAGTCAGGTCGCGGCAGCAGCCAACATCAGTGACGGCTCTCGATCTCCTCTCCACCAACAGCAAGCATGCGAGTGAGTGAGTGAGCGAGCGCCAAGCAACCGTCCAACTAAACAAGCAAGCAACCAGTCAGCTAGCCAGACCGCCGGCAGGAAGATCACCGGAGAGCCACTGGTACCGGAACCTTCCCAACGATGGCAGTTGCGGTGGCGAGAGCAAGCAAGCAAGCAGGTAGACAGCCGGTCGGTCGGTTGGACGGACGGACGGATGGCGTCGAACCCTGGCTCTGCCGATTGCTCGCTGATCAACACCGACTCCTGCTCCCGAGCACCGATCGTTCGCCGCCGGATCGTCCGAGTGGGATCTTCATGTACTCCACATTCTCTGCCTGTAAAATGCGAGCTCATTTAGAGAGACCGGCGGACGATCGTGCCCATGCACCCACGAGGGTGTAGCAGCTCCAAATGAATTGAAACTGCCACGCGTGGTGATCGGACACGACGATCGTGGATGAAGTCGCGTCGTGAGGCAGCATCGTGATGAAGGCCTATCGAGAGCGCTGAGTCATATTAGGAGTTCGATCGACGATCTTTGGACACACCTATCAGGGCTCTGCCGGAATGGGCTCCCCATTCTGATCGTAAGCGAATATTGAGCGGCGAACACCGAGGGAGGGCATGAGTGGAATCAGGCACTGAGCTCCCTCGCGAGGGACTCTTCCTCACGTCGCTTGGCCCCAACAAGCAAAATCGAACGTCCTTGGGAGCCGCTTGTCGGGGTGGGGAAGCCCGATCTGGGAATCACTGACGAGCTCAACTTCCACCACCGTCAATCAGGAATCGGGAGAATTATATCTCTCCGGATAGCTAACCGATATTAGGGTTTGGGCTGCTGGTCAGATATTCTTGCCAAGCTCATGAGAAATATGATACCGAAAATTTTTCCCGCTACCGAGGGCTGAGATAGCTTTAGTTCAGAACTCCGAGGAGTAGCAATCAGAAAGAATCGGAGGAAGCGGTCATGAAGATATCGAAGATGAAAAATAGTGCCGTAGAACGAGTGAGCTGCTCAGAACAACGGGCATAGTGGGCTCGCTCCGAACGTCGCGTCGCTCACCCGTTCGGGGTGAGATGCCGCACTTGAGATTATCCGTTGGGGGGAGAGAAATGCCCGACTGACTGACTGAGTTCAGCAGAAGAATGCGGGTCGCATACGTTCGACGCCAGAACGTTCAACAACACGCAGTCTTTCTCTCTTTCAGCTATGGTAAATAAACCACATCGGAATAAAGCAGGAATCATGGGGAGGGGAAATTCTCGCTGCTGAAACGAAATTCTCCGACGAAATTCTGACTAGCCATCATCATCTATTTTCGAATAATACGCGGAGAACGAGCTATTAGAAAAACGCGATACGTCGTCCGCTTTGCTCGACAGAGCCTTGGCTTTGCTTTCCGTGAAGTCGCTACCGTCCGGTAGCGTGAAAATTCGGAACTTCAGAGAACTCGCCGGCATTTCTGAAGCTTTATGGCTAATGCATCGACGGAATGACAGAGAGGGCATTGCCTGCAGAGCAACTGGATCTGTGATTGGCTTCTAGAAGGATTGCGCCCCGATACCGACGGCGGATTGTCAATTAACAGCTGACCGGCCGAATACCGATGACGTGTTCGCTTTTTGCGCTCGGTTTATCGACGTGATGGCGTCTCTCGGCAGCCTGACCGGCCGTGGACTTCACCGTCTGCATTATCATCACTACCGTCGCCGCCGCCGTCACCATCGTCATCAAGACTGATGATAGCGTTCCCCGATGGAGCGATCGATCGGTGAACGACTTCTGTCACCATATACCGAACAGCCGCAGACAATCAGCAGAGGACAGACCCCAGACGAATGGTCCAACGGGCAGACACTGTTTTTACCAGAATCATAGGAAGGTCTAGCGGCTCTGTAACCGCGGATTTCGGAATGCCGGTGGAGAAGCGCGACCGTATGGGGGCTCTCACTGGGTGCAGAATGAATAGGCCAGCTCGGGAGCTCCCAATCAAGAAGCTCCCTGACATAATAGAACGCGTCCGGGCATTGTCTCGACTTTCTGGTAAGACGCCTCACGCCTGCCCCTTGCTCGTCCATGTTCAGTCAACATCGGCGCACTTCGGCGATTTCACAAGAACGGCTCGCTTCCAGTCGGGAAATGAATCTCATGCCTGGGAGTTTGACAGGAGTGCATCTAGATCAGCCCATGGATTCACCCGTTCCGAAGAATTCCCATGATGGCTCCTTTGAGAGTGGAGATTCCTTTTCGAGAAGTTCTCCGGGGAAATACAAGGACGACTGATATTCCCGGACACTATGGAAGTCGAGGCGTCGCGGCCGCTGCCTATTTCCTGGGGAGCAGTTTATGTCGTCGGGTGTCACGATCAAGGCGCCGTTGCGGGGAAGGAATGGGCTTTCTCTCCACTGTATGCTGGAATCACTGTGAGTAAGCATCCGTAGTCAGCGTAATAATGGAAGAATCGTCGCAGACCGGAGAGACGCATACTCTCATATGAGCAGGTCCATATGAAGGAATCAGAATCGTACGGAGTTCTGGTCGAAAGCGCCTCAATCATGATTTCAATTGGATATTTGCGGTCTAGTATGGAGGACCCCTTCCCGGGCAGAGCAACAGTTCGATCCTTCTGAGCAGTATAGCATGGGCATAAATTAGGTATATGTTCCTCTCGGCGATCGGTCCCGGCGACTCGCGCTGCAATCAGTTCTCTATACTATTCCTCCATCTCAGCTACTGCCAATATTGATTGTGCCGCTTTATACAGACTCCCTTCGCATCAGTTCGGGGACTCGCCGTCGGAGATTACGCCTATTAGGTGATGCTATAATCTCTCGAAAGAGCTTCGCCGAATCTCGACGAGCCCATTCGAACATTATACTCTCATCACAGTGCCGGGCTAACTCTATGACGGCGCTAGCTCGGAATATTCGGGGTGGCATCTTCGTGTAGTCGAAGTGATGAGAGAACATCCACTGTCGTCTCGAGCAGGGAGCATGCCGCTACCGCGACGGATACTCCTTTGAGGAATATAGCGGTGGACAAGATTGAAGCATTTAAGGCGGGATTCATCGATTCATCTCTTTCGGTAGGAAAGATGAATTTCCGCTCCGATTCTTCCATGTCATAATCGATGTGGGGGTTTCTCTGTGTGTCCGTTTCACCAGGATCCGAGACATGAAGGAATTCAGTAGCTAGCGGGAAGACGCACTCAATTTAAAGCGGAGCAGCTCGCATCCCGTCGGCTACACGACCGACTACTGCCGTTGTTGCCGCTTTTACTACAAAAGACCGCGTCGGGTTGCTTTCATTCTTCGCAGTTTTTGCCTGATAACGATTAGCGTTTTTTTTTTCGAACGATGAGATGGTCCAAATGGCGGCCTCAGGCTGTTGCCTACCGGAGGTGTCTTCGCAGCGCTATGGCAAGAAAAAAAGCGAATGACGGGACTGTTCAGATTTCTGACGTGGTCACGTCTGCCTGATAGACCACGTGCCTCGCCGAGCTCGGACTGGCGAATATTGAAGACGATCACCGCTGGTCGCGGAAAATTCCGCTTTTTGTTTCAGTTTTCTCAGCGTTCGGACTGCCGGCTCCCAGTGCTGAAACTGCGATCAGTCAAGACTGCAGTCGGATCCAACGGTACGCCGACAACCTGATTCGGATTTCGGGCACTGTGAAGGAGGGATGCCCCGAAATTATCGCGATCCTCACTGCTGTTCCCCGGATGATAGCTTTCCTCTGGGTGCGAATACTAACGAAACAGAATGGGTAACTGTTCCACGAATCCGACTGCACCAGAAATATTGGATAGCGTAGCTCACATCAAGGAAACAATTCTCATCTCTCCGCAGCCGTTTCCGGACCGCTAATGGGGTTCGACGGCGCAATTCTGAGAGTCGTTGAGACAGCGTTTGGAGTCATGAGCAGGGGGTCAGTAACTTCCATGAATCATGAGTCCTAAGTGTCTTACACTAGGACTTGGACAGCGTCGGCCTTGAAGGTCTATAACCCACGAGTGGCGAATACGGCCGCCAGGCGGCGCTGAATTCCCGCCCCTCGAGGTTCGGGCTCCTTGCAAGCTCATTCGACTCCAAGGAACGACCGGAAGGCCACCTGTAGCATTGTGAGGTCTTCAGAAAGCAAATAAGTGACATCTGAAAGGTTTCTCTTGATTCCGTTCTGTCAATTCAATCTGCTCTCTTCCGAGCGGATCGTGATCACCGAAAGACAAAAGGTGAGCTTCGCAATGGGTTTCCAATCTCTTCCAATCAAGCTACGTAGGTCGCTTCACGGACGAAGAACGACTTATTTCGGGGTCCGGTTTCGATGACATCCCGTGACGCGCACGTGTACTGATGTTCAGAACGTGCTCCTTTAGAGACGAGCCGATTGCGAGATGCAAAGCTCATGCATTGGATGATCAGCGGAGGTTCTGTCATCCCTGTGGCCTCTAGGCCGCCCAATCCTCATTGGGAGCGACATCGGAATTTGGAGAAGTCCGCATTGTTCCAAAGACGCGGATGCGAGCAGCTTCGAGACGTCCATTGCTCCGGGGAAGAAATGGGGATCAGGCAGGACCCTCGCTCCGAATATGCGAATTAAAACCCGATTGAAGCGCGATGTATGGGGACCGGCCTTGAGCCGAGAGATCACCGTCATTTATCCCCTATGTTATTTGCAGAATATACTCTCAGGGCCGCAATCAGATACGGCATGATTCCGTACACGCGAGAGCCCCACGGTCCCCATCACTGACTTGAATTTCGAATCTCAAAATCGGAACACTTTTCCGGATGGGGAGCGCGGATCGGACTCGATGACCTCTGATTCGATTGAATTGACTTGATGATCTCGTCCGCCTTGCTCACCGAAATCGGGAAAATTCGCTTTGCTCAAAGAATCTTTAATGCAAACGTCGACCCTCCCCGCGGAATCACCCAAGAGATCCCCGACTCGAATCAAATTGTCACATACAGGAGCCGTCTCCGAAAGCTCGACTTTAAGAATTTCGGCTGAGACGCAACTTTTTCTTGCCGAGCAAGCCAAGCGGTACCTCGGGGGAAGGCGACGGCGCGACGTCGCCGCAACTTGCCGCATCGTTCGATACTTTGTGAGGTATGATATCATCAGGGCTGTCCCGGAGAATTCATGTAATATGACACGGACGACGTTCGTAGCGCGAGTACAATCGGATCAGGTTATCACAACTATCAGAAGCCTCCCTCAGAGCCCAAACCCATATGGTACAGCACCCTGGGCTGAGGATGCTCACATACAAGTTTTTCATGAGAGTCTCTCTGGGTGGAAGTTTTGCTTCCTGGAATAAGATGCTGCGTCGCTCTCTCCGGTAGCGAGACTCTCCTAGACTTCATCGGACGAAAAGTGATGACGGTCGGCGCGATGTGATGAAGCAAATCATGAGAATCACGCAGCCTGCATCTAGCCGTCACCTGCATAAATCCCCGTCAGTAAACTGCGGCAACATGCGACACCGAGACTCGTGGTGCCAGGGAAAAGTGTCTTTCCTTCTCGGTCAGTTTACAGCCTCCCGTAAACCGTCGATACCTGAGTGTCTTTTGTTCGTTGGTCCATCGTTCGCTCGCGATTTGCCGGACGGCCGGCCGACCGAACGACAGACGAATCAGGTGACCAACGTCGACGCTCAATCGAGCACGAGTGCCCAACCATCCCGCGTTGTCGGAGCTTCTGCATGGCGTCCGTTACGAAACTCGACTTGCACGCGCACATCCTGCCGGAGCGTTGGCCCGACCTCAAATCAAAAGTCGGTTATGGAGGTTGGGTGCAGATACACAAGGTCGGGGACGATGAATTCGACATGCGTTACGACGACGGTACGTTCTTCCGAAAAGTCGAGAAGAATTTGCTCGATCCAAAAACTCGGATCCGCGAAATGGACGCTACGGGCGTCACGATCCAGGCTTTGTCTACTGTGCCGGTGTTATTCAACTACTGGGCGGAAGGCGCTGACGTACAACGTTTTCACCGCTTCCTTAACGATCACATCGCCGGCGTAGTCAAAGACCACCCCGATCGCTTCGTCGGAATGGCAACCGTGCCCCTACAATCGCCTCTGCTCGCCGTTGAGGAATTGAAGCGCGTTCACTCAGAGCTACACATGAACTGTGTGGAAATAGGCTCGCATGTAAACGCCTGGGACTTGAACTCGAGAGAACTGGACCCGTTCTACAAAACGGCCGAAGAGCTCGGAACCAGTATCTTCGTTCACCCCTGGGACATGCAGATGGACGGGCGTATGAAGAAATACTGGATGCCGTGGCTGGTTGGCATGCCAGCCGAGACCTCGCAAGCGATCTGCTGTGTTTTGTTCGGCGCCGTGTTGGAACGTTTCCCACGACTCAAGTTCTGTTTTGCCCACGGAGCCGGCTCGTTTCCCTACACTCTCGGACGCATTCAGCACGGTTTCAATTGCAGACCCGATCTCTGTGCCGTGGACAACAAGGTCGGTCCGAGTTCGTATCTGGGAAAACTATACGCGGATTCGCTCGTACACGATGAGAGAGCTCTCAAATTTCTAGTTGACATCTTCGGTGAGGATCGCGTGTGTCTTGGAAGCGACTATCCTTTTCCTCTTGGCGAGATTGAGCGGCCTGGAGCCCTAATCGAAAACGCTGACTTTTCGGTGGAGTTGCGAGAAAGACTGCTGTGGAGGAATGGCGCCGAGTTCCTTGGAATGCATCTGAGTTCGATCTGAGCAGGATATATCGTCGAGGTCGGGTGCTGCATCGGACCTGACTCGGATTTACCGCACCCGACTCACAAGACACAGATGGACAGTATGATATCTGAATTACTCGCAATCAAAAATTCTGAGGAGGGTAATAAAAAAGATCCGAACGGATCCGCCCCTCGCTTTATGATGCGGGAGAATTTAAGATCGAAGGATTCGTGAATTATTTGATTTTGCACCCGGAGGTAGCTATCCCGATGCAAAGAAGCCGAGGACAACCTGGTATTTGTCCAGGACGTCAATGGTCTAGATGCGGGAGCCACCGGTTCGATGTTCCCGGCGTTGACGTCTTACAATTAGACGTGGTAATTCATCAGTGTTCCTCAAGATCGAGCGGTATCCGCACGGCCGCGGCTCATCTAAGACGCTACGTGTTCACGAAGTCAGAGAGGGGGGTATCTCATTCACCGCTTGCGGCTCTCTAATAGGCCGCAATGCCATTCCCAGCATCAGGTGCTCGGAAAACAGAGACTGAGAAACGCTCCGAAGAGAGACAACGTCTGGAATCCCATCGTCTTGCGCAACGATTGGTTGTTGAATGTTAAATCCCTCACTATGATGTCGTCAGCAGACAGACAGGCATGCTCCGCTGCTCCTCACTTACGGAGGGCTCCGTGAAACTTCGCTCCCTAGTTGGGCTGCCTGTCATCAGTCTAGGTTAGAAGGAAACTTTTGTAATGAATACATAGGTCTGGTCAGATTGCTAGTGATCCGCAAGTCTTCCGTATATCCCTTGTGGGCTGGTCATTTCCGCGTTGTCGCTTCCGCTTACAGTACACCCTGAACACGTTGATGGCAGGGGCCAACGGAAACAAAGAATTGGCTGAAGACGGGACCCTTGGCAAAGCGCCCATAATCACAAAAATCCTCCGTTTTCGGGAGATTCTCATCCCAACCATATGTCTCCGAAGGGAACCAGTCTTAACGATGACATGCAATTAGGCGGCGCGGCGGCGAAATACTCACCGAACGTCAGTGTCGTGGGTTTGCGAGACCGTTAGAAGCCGAGAGCGGATTTCAAAACCACGCATCGGTTGGGAAGGGAACTACTGGAAGACTCCTTCGCCAAGGCCTGCCGACCCCATTCTCGTTTTTCGATCGTGGCCATCCCTCGCCGAAGAATCCTCCCAGAAGAGCATCCTCTGACGGAATCCTTCTCTCGTCTCACCAATAACGATGCTTGGGGTGGTTAGAAGCTCATCCAGATCGAGTCGGACAGACGATCAGAATCCAAATCCTCCTTGAGGCACGACCCGTTCATGATATTTCAGAATTTAGAGCTCTCCGATCACCGAGCGGTCGCGACGTGTCATGCGAATTATTCCCGGAACGAGTTCCGTTCTGGCGATAATTTTCTACAGCTCGAGGGGATTAGAGCAGAATTCGAAAAGAACCAGAGATTCTGAATAATCGTTCCACCGTCCTCCTCTCGATAAGTTCTCAGCGAAGCAGGCTCCGACCTCGTAAGGAAGCGCTGATCAGCAGATCGCAGAGTGGCCAATCTCGCAGCTCTGAGAGCAGTCTCCCGGCGTTCCTTACGGCGTAGCTTGGATATCTTGCGTGCGAAATCTCCTCCCCGATTATGATCCCGAAACAACGAGGGAATTTCCACTCTGAGCCTTAGACGGAGAAATGATCTCCTCGATGCGTATCGGAGTCGGATCGAGATTTTCAGCCTAGGTCACTTGGTGTGTCCATCCAGCGGATCCCTGCTAACAACCCGGAATTAATTTTCAGCGGCCCGTGGGAGAATGTACGGCCTCATCTTCGAGAATCTCAGACAGTATATCATCGCAGTTTATGGAGAAGATAAATGGGAAGAAATACGTCGTCAGGCCCGTGTTGAACACCCATCTTTTTCTACACACGACATTTATCCCGACAGCGTCATCTTGCGCATTGTCGGTAAAGGATGTAAGGTACAAGATCATAACAAGCCTGTATGAAAGACAAGAACTCTCTGGGATCTTATGCGAGGAACAGAGCCTATTCTAGATCTCATGACGATGCTTGTCGGGAGTTTCGCTCCGAAAGCGAGGTCTCGGGTCGGGGGAAATCATTCCCGCAAAACCTCTTGAGACGCTCGCGGACTCGCCGACGAGACGGTCGACTGCAAGACGTGTCCATCTGTCCTAGGGCAACTCGTGCATGAATTCTCGCTTCGAGTTTGGGGCCGGGGCTCACAAGTAGGCGCCTCTCGAGCGGGAGGTGTTTCTCCTCCCCGTCAAGGTCTCCGGGAGAGTTTCCGCGGAAGCTGGCGAAAGTATTATAGAATCCCATTCCAGCTGCAGCCGCCGACTGCCGGTGCCGGTCCACCATGGGCATTCGAGCTCTGAGTCTGTCAGCGGAAGTAATACCTTCCTCTCCAAATATACGCGCGTTGTATGAGTCTGTTCTAGTTCAGCCCTGGAAAGTATTCTCTCGAAAGACAAAGTATCTTCCTAAATTCGGTCAACGAGCTTGGCGTTCAGACCATTCTTGGATTATTCGCAAAGAATAATCCAGAGTCTGGATTCTCGCGCGACTCGCGTCTCACGCAGTTTGGAAACTCGTGCTCCTCCCGGGAAGTACCGAATATCTTTTCCAAATTCAGATGCTACGCGCTCCGGAGAACGAGTTTCTGGAAGGAATGGGTACCTATTTCGTCTCCTTCCTCGCCCAATACGGATACGACCGAGTGCTATCTGTGCTGGGACGCCACATGCGAGACTTCATCAATGGCCTCGACAATCTCCATGAATATTTGAAGTTCAGCTACCCGAAAATGAAAGCTCCATCGTTCTTCTGTGAGCAAGAGTCGGAGTCGGGTTTGACTCTGCACTACCGGAGTACTCGGAGAGGCTATCTATGGTACACGATCGGTGAGTAGTTTGCGGTTTAGTCAAATACTTATCTTTCAGGGAAGTTGAACCGTCCGATCAGATCACGGGCTCATTTGTCGCGTTTATAGACAAACGGCGAATAGAGACCAGAATTAATGCCAACAGGACAAATTAAGGAGGTCGGCAACCACTTCTACAACACTAGTGTCGAAGTCGATATTCTCAGGGAGGAGTCCATATTCAACACTCAGCACGTAGTCATGCGTCTCAAGTTCCAGAATACAGCCTTCAAGCCTAAAATCGGAGCTCTGGTGAGTTCCTTTGCGCGTGTTTCGATATCACGACGATGGCTTAATTAAGCCAACATAGGTAATCATTGATCGTGATCATTCTCGGATTATCGCGATCACAGTCGAGCGATTTTCTCGCCAGAGAGGTATATTGGAGTCCCGGCATAGGATTCGCTCCGACTCTCAAGGTCACGGGCGGAATTTCTCACGTGCATTGCTCGAGTACGCTGTTGGATTTAATTAATCCACAGGCGCCTATGAATTCCTCCGGTGTGATTTCGAAACTTCCATTCCATTTTCCCTATAATGCTCGCGGTATTCGTTCCGGGAAATCGCAGGCTCCGGGAACCTGGGAGTCGCGCGTCTAGATGTCGAGACGCGGCCCGCGACGGGTAGTGGCATACCTCCACTACTTCGTCGTGGTCTATTAAGAGAAATTTGATGCCGATTCCGAGCCGATGCTATCTTGTCGAGGGTTGAGCCGCTCTGAACTGCCGTATGGTGACTTGAAAACCGAGAGGGGGTCTGGAAGAGGTCGAGAACTTGCTTCACCCGAACCGCATCTTCTGGATGAGTTTCCTTCAATGTTGCTCCCCGGATACATCAGAACGACGTTGTGTGAGGGAGCGCAGGGCTATCAACCCATGAAGGGCGGCGGGCATTGAGCCGTCCGAAAGGATGTTATGTAAAAGGATCATAGCGAATCAAACCTTCAGCCATCTATCTATGTGTTGAGAAGGCGGGGCCAGTGCTGCCAGGCAGTGAATATTTCCACCGTTGTATAGTAAAAAGGGTGAATAGCTTGGTGCGTAGGCTGGTTGGACGGCAATGAGAGTAGCTTTCTATTACTAAAATCAAGCCCATCTCCAGCAAAACTCCACGAGGAGCAGGTGCCCCGAGCTCGATCGGATCATGAAGGCCGCACGGCCTCTCCCCCACTATTCGGATCATATTATTCAGAGTTTCACCCCGAATCCGGGAATGGGAGATCGCAGTTCGATGGCGAAATGATTCAATTGGCATTGTCTCGGCCCATATAAGGCGAAATGGTAAAACTATAGCTCTTCGATAAAACCGAAGGCTATGAGTATCTTCAGATTTGCCGCATACCTCCAGAAGGAACATGGGGCCGAGCAACTCGGGGACACGACAATTCGAAAACAGCTATAGGAGCTGTTTTTGAGATACACGGGCCTTCAGTCGGAGCAGGCAATGGGAATAGATTCAGAGGAAAGATGTCAGGGACAATGAGTGGGATGAGAGTTCAGAGAGAAATTACCGAAATAAAACTCCTGGAGGCCGCGACTTCACGCAAAAATCCTGCTTTGAGTGACCTCCAAGAAACTCAACTCTCCCGAAGCGAATCCCCAGCCCCGAAGCGTGATATCCAAGTTGTACCCCTCACTACCTCTATCTGGTCGCGCTTCCTCTCCTGTCGAGAGGAAGTCTTCGCTTATCCGCGAACCTGAAGCTGGACACAGTGCGACTCAAACTGGGTCCCCTCCCGACAGGCACTTAGCTCGGTTCTGTCGTTCTTCATTGTGTAGGCGTACTTTGGCCTATTTGAGCTTGAGCGAGGATTGCAGTTCACGTCTACGGTTCTCTATGAGGAGCACTCACATCGGGCCAGATCGATGGACGATTCCATGAATCTCCGCTCCATCGAGCTTCCTCGCTGGATGTCGCTTACTCGATGCGTCCCATGTGAATCTGAGCTGAATCCGGCTCGACTCATGGGCACATCGATACCATATCAAGGATGTCATTGAACAGGCTCTAGATTGTGCCTCGCAATCGTCAGTGAATGACTCTCATTCTTGATGGTGAGGTCTCACGATGACCATGTTACACCCCAAGACGTCAGGAGCAAAAATTCTATTGGAATGCAGGGCAGCGTCGCTTCCCGACATATGCATTCTCCCTTACGTCTAAGACGGAACGATAGGCGTTTGAAAATCTGAGTTGTATCGGTTACTTGTCTACTGGCTGCCACTGAGCGCGGAGTCTCGCATCGCATCGGTACCCGATTCAATAGATGCGCTATATATCGCCTGCTAACCAGAGTCAGCGATGTGGGGCTCGGACTTGAGTCCCGTTCGAGTATTCGGCAAGCACCATAAGTGCAGCTTCCGGGATGAACCTTTACCGTTTGAAGCCGGACGGAATGGGAAGTCCTCGAGCTCCGGAATAGGGTTTTCTCCAAGATTGTAGGTACATGTCAGAGAAGGTGTACACATTGCTAATCGATCCCGAGAATTATTTTCGACTGCTCACGCGTCCGGGAAAATGATCGCCTGAATCGAAAGCTTAGAATTCTGAAGCCAAGGTGAGGGGAATATACGTGTTGACCTGCATGTCTCGTCGGCAGCCGGAGTCGAATTCCCCCACGGCTCTTTTCTGCGCAACCGTGATCCCGTCGTATCGAGGAACGGAATGCGCGCTCCGCAAGTCGGCGACTAGACCGACTCGGAAGGTCCCTCGCGGTGAACGGAGTTTCCTCTGGGCTGAGCTCATCGATGCGACTTCGAATCCACAAACCCGGGACGATTCGCGTTCCAGCTCGTTGTTCGATCTGAAACCGCCGAAAGTACCTCGGAGGACTGCATCCATCTCCCTAAAGCTCCTCCTGGGCATGGACTATTATTTTGTACAGTGGAAATAAACAAGTTTTATTTCGCATAGTTCAATGCAGATTTTCTGTTGAACTCCGTTGTGCTGTGAAAAGGGTCGGCCGAGATCTGAACCATTGTCACTTATCAGCTTGTTTGTGGATAGATGAATGCGGCGTATGTTGATTCATTGTTGCCTTCAATGGATTTCAGGAGCTCGCACGATCTGTGTGGCAGGACGCCTTGCTGGTTCTCTGATTTCATGGGTAGACATTCGGTGATGATTCGGTCTGCCAGTATACTCGTAGAGGCTTTATACGTATGCGGTGTCAGTTAGATGCAACGATAGCTGCTGGCTTCTTCTTGCGAACCTTCCCCTTTGAATAGTGGTTTCAGAAGGGCTTCTTGCCATTTTTTCGGGATGTATCCCGTGTCGAGTGTGCAGTCGAACATTCGAGTGATCAGAGGCAGGAGTATCTCATTGTCCTCCACGATCTCGATTGCTATTCCGTCAGGTCCGACTGCCTTGCTTCTTTCCATCCTTCGTATGCTCCCGAGGACTTCCTCGTTCACTATATATTGGCTGTACCATTCGTCTCCGGAGCTTCCTGTGCTGTTGCACTGTGTGAGCTCCGGCGTGCTCTGGGTTGTCGCGTACAGTTCGTTGTTGTACTCCTCGAAGTTCTAGAGGTGCGCCCTCGGCGCGCAAGAAGTCTTCTTGCTGGGCAACATGATCCAGAGTTTAGTTCGACTCAACTTGACTTTTCCTTCGAATTGTTTCTACTCGTAGTCGGTCCCCTCTTCACCCATCATGTCATTATACGATCCTTGTACGATGGAAATCCTATTTAAAACGTGGGTCGGAGGTGATCAGTTAGCGGGACGGCGTGGTGAACAAGCGCTGTATTCTGGGTATGCGAGGAACACACTCCACGCAGGTTCGCAGAAGACCATAGTCTGCACCCCGTAGATTCGTTCCTAGGCATTGCCTGGATCGTTGATGTTTAGACTAAGATCGGCGACATTCCTTTCCCCCCGCAGGATATCGACACCATCGAGCTAGGACGGAAACTTCTTCCTATCAAGGCTCACATTTTCCTCGAGATATTCCCTTTCTCGATTGTTTTCGATCAGCAACTGACGATCGCGAATCTCGGCAAAACCCTGATGACAGTCATGCCGACGGCGTTAAATAAGCGCATACCTCAAGTGTTCGATCTCACGAGACCATTGATCGAATGCAGCTGGAACTCCGTGGGTATTCCGCTTCTCACCTCCTCATTCAATCATGAAAATAATTATAGGGGGGATATTGGAGGGCCTGGGTGGAGAACATGTCTGAAATCCAGACGCTGTCCCATAATGTTGTCTTCGGTGTCTCGGGATGATTGTTCCAATTAAGGAAGGAAAGGCTTTCCGAATCGTAATCGGACACGAAGCTGAGATCGAGCTGGGGCTCAGGTATACCACTCGGTCGAAGAAGCTTCCAGGATAGGAATACATGCCCAGATTTCACCTGCATTGAGCTCGTATACGTTGCAAAGGTGGAGGATCCCCCCCCATTGTGCAGATATTCCAGCTGAGTCGTTGCATTGGAGTTGAGCGCTGACGACTTCCATCAGTCACCGTAATCGCGAAGTGTCAATTTCAGATTTTAACACACCTGAACAACGTATTCGAATTGACGACGCTTGAAGCCGTGAAAGCTCAGTCGAACATCGATCCGGAACATGAAGGTACTTCTCCGTTCCTCGACCAGGACGATGCAGTGTACGAAGACACCTTGCTGCACCTCAAAGGACAAATGCTCTTCATGGAAGAGTGGCAAGCAATGGTTTATCTCGCAGCGCCCGTGTAAGTACTGTTCTTCGCCACCGACTTTCCACTGCGTTCGAGCTATTGCCACCGCTTGTCTGCAAAATCATTACGGCAGCGATTTGCAGACGGGCCTTGTTTCGGATTTAATTTTGAGATATTGTCGGCGAGAACGAGATCGTCGCCCGAGCAGGGAAGAGCAAGTATAGAGAGCAATTCAGCAGTCCCCCCACGTAGCACAGAAGAGGCGATGTTAATGTTCCACCCGGGACGTTATTGAGGCTGGGGAAGTAATATCCAGCAACGCTCGTTCAAAGTCCTCATCGTGGGCGGCTCGCTCGGAACGAACGCATGGAGGTATTTACGAGATACATCGGAATCCTGCTGAACCCTGATCTCATGCCTATCGTACCCGGTCTCTGGAGAGCTGCTAGAAGAGCAAAGCTGTCATTGACGACAGCGAGAGTGCGGGGAGTCCGCAGATTATCGGGATAGGGACTCGACGAGCGTAGAGAGCTCAGTCAGTCAAAGGCACCTGTGCAGACTGAGCTCGCTGCGTAGCCTGAAACTGAACGGGAGAAAATCGAAATATTCTCATCTACGACATTCGAACGGTATCGATCCAGACAACAAATGCCGAATCCTTCTGCCGAGACGGAGCTGCCAGAATCCACGGAGAAATGGTTTTTCGAAGAGACTTCGATCTCGATGAAACACGAGTCGAACGACTCCAATGATCGTTTCCCCCGGGGGTCTGTAGGTCAAGGTCAAGCTGAAGTTGTTTCCGGGGTATTGATGAGCCTCCCCGGATCTTCCGCCGATATGCTCTGTGATCGTGAAAACGAGGCATAAATGAATCCTCCCGAGATTTACGGCATACCTATCGGGAAATTCATCCATAGACTGGAGACCTCATCGGATCATTCCGATCCTGGATAGTAACAAGTGAGGTCGCCGCGCAACAGGGTCTTTGTTGTGGAAGACTTGTCCTCCGTTTGTGCATCGTGGTAAAGCTATGTGAGAATTCGACTTGTAGGGAAATCCCAGAGGGGGGGGGATCAGGTAGTCGATGATCCCGTTCCTCGAAGTTGGTTTCGGAACGTCTCTCCCCATTATTTTTCTTGTACAGCTCGATGATCTCGGGAGTGAGACATTCTATGTCGAATCTTAGTTCCAGAGTTCAGACAGACAGACTCGGGAAGAACGAGACTTCACGTCAGGACCCCCTGGTCACATTCATCGTCTCGACTCGACAGCTCGAGTTTAGAGATTACTACCATTTTTCCCGAGTTTCCCTCGGCTTATGAGACGTGGCCTCAGGCAATGGGAGGCTCTTCCGTATGGGGCGCACTAATCATATCTTTCGAAAAGCGCTCTCGGGACAGAAAATAAGTTGCGTGACGGCGTTCCCGACAATGATGCGAAAAGAGTTTGAGACTTTCTCTCGCATGAGGGTAGTTCATCCAGAGCCTTCGCCTCTGAATTTGTCATCACCGACTTACTCGAAAAGTTCGAACCCTTCGGGTCAAACGTAGTCTCTGCGACTGGAATGATGAGGTGCCTCTCACGGTTTTTCATTGCAGAATGCGAGATCTCAGCACCATGGTACTCACGGGCTTATACGTCAACGATCTCTCGATGCACGACTTCTCTCGAGATATGGTACTGGCAGGCCAGCAGCAAAGTGCCGAGCTCAAAATGGCTCTCGATCAGGTTCGTGCGTCCAGAGCCCCTTCTCAGATGGGGAGATTTCCGCAAAGGAGTCCCAATGAGCTGCCAATGAAGGGAGTCCGACGTCGCAAAAGATCCAACACAGGATATTGCTCTTCAACGGCATCGGGAAGAGAGACAAAGCTGTACCGCTCCGCTTCTCTCTACCGGAGAAGAGGGTTTTGACTCGCGCTCGGACTCGCGCAGATCAGAGTCACATACACGCGGTGTGTTCGGCCTTCACCCGGAAACGGCGATGCAGGGCAGTTCTCCCTCCCAGTCCCGGGCTATCAGTAGCTGTCATTAGCGGATCGCATTCAGCAGATACACGTTTTGACTAATTAGTTTCCCCGGCGGGAAACCGACCGGAGGAGCCACCAGGAGCTCCGGGGGAATGACTCGATCATCTCCTCATCCCAGTAGCCTAGCTGATCCATCTATCGTCTCCTCTATCCATTTGCGGAGCCACCCATCCGTTCATCCATCAATCTCAAGGGAAATCACGATTCGAGGGAAAGCAAATATGATTCTCCAAGCCCGCCGCTATCTGGGCCCGATGGGGTGGTTTCCTCCACTGACGGGTTCGAGATAGATGAGCTGTCTCAAACGACAGAGGAGAATGAACTCGACCTGGAACGAGAGAAGAAAAACAAGGGATTGACGATGACAGCGAAAACTTGTCGAAGCGAGCTCCTTTGGCTCCGAGAGAATAATTTGCTTGCGATCTGTAAGAGTTTGCCGCGTCCTTCGCAGGAACTACAGAAGAGCAAACAGCTCGAAGACTCGATGAAAAAACTCGATCTTGAGATGAGGCGGACGGACGAATTGTTGTACCAGATGATACCCAAGACTGTCGCTGACAAGCTTCGACGAGGAGAGAGTCACGTCGACACCTGCCAGGTATTTTCAAATACTTCTACTTTTCTTGCGATGAATTTTTTCTCAATCGGACCACGGGGCATGTCAAACGATTGCGACTCCTCCGCCTAAATGGGGAGAGAACTCCCCCCTGAGGAACCTCTGAAGGGAATGGGTTTGCGATTCCTGACCTCAGACAGGGAAAAACCGCAGGGATTCTCTCAGACCGCTCTAGAGAGTCTCTCGGAGAATTCGGAGGCGCAGCTTGAGAGACGAAAAACATTCAGCCAGCTCTTCGTATCGATATTCCCAGCGGCGCCCTGGTTCTCTCTATTGTAGGCCCCATCTGGGAAATCGGCGCGGAGAAACCCGACGCGAACGTCTACTTTATTAGTAATGCGAGCCGCACTTACATATATTTCCCGAGGATTTGTATGACAGAGGCGTGAGAAAAGTCACAAACATATCCGCCGAGGAGGAGCGTGTTCGGCAATCTCCCCGGCCGAAATATCCATGAAGCGTCGAGTTTAATTTCCCCCCGCGAATTCCCGTCTTTGCAGTTCTTCGACAGCGTCACGATCCTGTTTTCCGACGTTGTCACGTTCACAGAGATTTGCAGCCGACTGACGCCGATTGAAGTCGTTCAGATGTTGAACGCCATGTATTCCCTCTTCGACCAACTGACAGACAAACACGGCGTGTATAAGGTGAGTTCAAATATTTGGGTATTCGAGCCTCGGCATTCATTCCCGCGGCTTTCGCCGAGGGTGGGATCGTCCCTCTTGAAACGATCTTCCTATAAAACATGACCGCTAGCGGAAAGGCGGAATGTCGCCCTCGCAAACTCCGTGCAAAGGGAATTCCTCTGCTTATTATAATTCTCCAGCATTAAAAGTTCGCTGGAACCCAGAGGAACGCTGCCCGACAGGACTCCGCTTGTGTAATCACGTGTATGTGGCGTTAAACCGTCATCTATAAACTTCTCGAGCCCGAGTTGGACTTTACGCGTGAAATTTCCGCCCCGGAACCCTTCATTCTTGAATCCACCAAAACAGGAGTTTAGCTCGTGAAGGCTTTGGCGAGAGTGGAGAGCGCTGCTCGTGGAGAGAAGAAGGAGCAGTCATTGGAAATAATTTTCTTCAACAGGTGGAAACAATCGGAGACGCTTACATGATCGTCGCCGGTTGTCCCGAAGCTTCTCCCAAACATGCGGGGAAAATATGTGAAATGGCCCTGGACATGGTGCAATGCATTCAAGGTATTAAGGATCCGTCGACGGGAAAGTGTCTGCGGATACGCGTCGGTGCTCATTCGGGCCCGGTTTGCGCTGGAATAGTGGGGCAGAAAATGCCGCGCTACTGTCTTTTCGGGGACAGTGTCAACACCGCATCGAGAATGGAGTCTACAAGCGAGGTAAGATCGAAGGCGGTCAGAGCTCTGCTCCGAGTGACGCGGCGGTACTAAGACGAGGGGCTCAAAAGTTCCCAGTCGAGCGAAGTTCAGCCTTCGATGTTTCTGTCGAGCATAAAAAGCTTTACGTGCCCTTGTAGCCGCTGAGGATCCACATCAGTGTGAAGACGAAGGAGCTACTCGATCCCTCCGTATGGAACATTTCTGAGAGAGGGACGGTTCCAGTGAAGGTTAGACCCGAGTAATTCCACGGGGATCAATTATTGCGGAAGTGAACTATACTGCCGGAATCAGTGTCACACTCTTCACTGTTGACTTGCGAATTCCATTGTTCCTCACTGCGATTGTCCTCAATCATCCATGGACCAATGTCACCGACATCGCCCTTTTTCTTCCCTTCCAGGGTAAAGGAAACATGAAAACATTCTGGTTGGACGGACGCAGGGATCGAAGGTTTGTACGCTGAAACGCCACCCCAAATAAACTGGGCTGATTCTCGTTTCCCGTCACGCCGACTGAAGAATTTGCTGTGATTCAGGGAAGCCTTGTGCTCGTCGCGGGCGCCTTCACGAACTTCCCTCTGGTCTGAAGCACCGAGCCTTCCATTACAGACCTCGCGCTCTGAACATAAGGCTGCCGTCACCTCTGAAACCGAAGAGCCACCAGCAGGCTACACGCAACGCGGAAGCAGGCCAGGAACCGAGAAGCGGCGCGAATAGCGAGCTACTCCCGCAGCCGACGCCAGGACTGCCCAAGTTTCAGATATCTGAAAAATCGCTGACTTGCCCTGAGCTGAACGAGCGACCCCCATCTCGACGGCACTCAGCTGTCGACAGTCAACCGCTTCAGCTGAACGATGTCGAACTGACCGCGGACTCTCCGAAATCAACCAAGCGGGAAGAGAAAGCAACAGGCAACGTCGAAGCGAAGCCCTCGGCAGTGAAAAGCGAGGACAGGGCCAGCGGATTGAGCAACATCGAGGTCGGCAAAAGAAGAACGGAAGTTGATAACGTGCATAAAGCTCACGCTGCGAAAATTAGCCCTGCCAAACCGAGGACGCAGCTCGGCGTCCTACCGAAGAAGGTCACAGGTGAGGGAAGATTCTTGTCTTTCGATTGGAAGCTGAGCCACCCGAAAACAATCTAGCATCGTCTCCTTCCAGTTTCAGACGTGGTTCCTGTGGCAGCGAGCGGTGACAAATGGTCGAATCTACCCGAGCATCTCATGTACACCGGAGGTTCTCGGTGCGAGCATTGCCTGCATTGTCATGCCCGAGCAATGTACGAGCGTAAAGCCCTCGAAGATCACGCCGACTTGAGAGCTCTGCAGCCAATGCGTATCTCTTCTCGGAGTAAAGCTTGCGTCCTTTTGTGAAGACATCCCTCAATTCACATATGTAGCTATCATAGCTCACTGATCTCTAGACATCCTAAAAGTCGTTCGGAGTTAAGAACTGTTACCTTTTCCGAAGAGTTTATCCCAAAGAGCCGTTTGACGCGAGAAAACCGTATGATCATGAGGAATGTTCACGAGTGGATCCTGCCCAGAGGACATCGAACGACGTTGCGCAGCTCTTCAACTGGGTCCGGCTACGTTTCATGTGATCGATTGAATATTTGTTACATTAGAACACTAGGCCTATCGAATTCTATCGGGATAATGAATTGAAGAGATTTGATTCAAAGTATCTTCGAATCCTACGGTTTTTCCTTTTTCTTGAGAATCGTAAGTTCGCAGTCGAGCAGTGATTAACGAATCCTCTGCGGATCAAAGTCTTGTAAGAAGCAACTCCAGTCGAGCCCATTGGTGAAGCTGGCCGGTGAGGCTGCGCGGCGAGGAATATCATGGGCATCTTCGATACGAGAAAATCGTACTCAGGACGAGGAATCGTCGCCTGCTGAAAGGAGAAACACCTTGACGGAGTGAAACTCCTCTCCTCCCCCGTTGCACTCGCGCTGATCAGAGCGGGGCAGAGTAGAAGAGTTTTGGCACGGATTCAAGCTCTGAACAAGAGAATTCTCGGTAATTTTGTTCATAGACAGGAAATTACATCACCTCCGTCACAGCAGGACCTGACAAAGTATCGGACGGCCTTCCCACGGAGGAAGCATCAATTCGGCGGCTCTCAGAAGAACGTCCTCCGCTTCGTTGCAGCGTCCCGAGCTCTCATTGAAATTCACGATGTGATCACCGCCAGCTCCTATTCGGGATCACGGGAACGTCTCATGGAGGAACCCTAAACACGGTCGCCTCTGCTGTGAGCATTTCGGGAGGGAAATGAACTCGACGTCGACGCTCTGGAGGGGATTCTCTCCCCTCGCCGAGGTTCAGACGCTTCGGATGCCGAAAAGGCTTTCATGTATTCCTTCCTTAATGGCACACCTTGCCAGGCGGAAGTTCTTAATGGAGCCCAGCGGCAGTTATCGCGGTAGTCGTCGTCGATTCAATAAGAACCCGAACCTGACCTAGGCCTCCCCATTATTCGGCGCCAACCTGATTCGCCAGAGTCGAGCGATGATGATAACCCGCGTCGAACTTCCAAGAGTATAGGTGTAAACTTTTTCCAGGTGGAGGGGGAACCTCGCCGGGATTCCCTTGCTGGGATCTTTCCGTCGGTCCCGCGAGCTTCAAGCTCTACTCTGGATGAGCGGAGGGATGCGCTGGCTTGACTCATATCCCTCCGACTCGTCTCAGTCATACTTCCGTTTCCTGTAAGCGTCCTGTTTTCATGACACCGGACGTCGGGACTGTAGTTTGGGCTCTGGGTTTTTCATGGAGGTCTCAAGTCCGAGAAATATCTCGTTCCACCCGAGGGAGAAAAGGGGTGGGCAACCTGACGGACATGCACGCCCCTGCCAAAGCTGTTCCCGGATGTCTGTGTCTTCTGGGCACCGGCCAGGTGAACGAACTTGTAGATTTCCAAGATTTAAATCCTGAGCAGATTCCTGACTTCGGCGCCGCGCCGGGCTAAGCGGAATGCGAAGCCCGCCAAGTTCACAACCATATAAGTGCCCTGAACCTCCCGCTGTCCGTATCATCGGATTACTTGATATGGAATTCAATTCGCTGAACCTGGTACTCAATTCTACAGACTTCCAGCATCTGTTTGGGCGCGGAGGCGCTGCTTCCCTGACCACTGGGCAGATTTGGACGAGCCGAATAATTATTCATCGCTTCCCTCCGGAAGCAGTTGGAACCTTCGCTTGAAAGCATCCTGATGTCGCTCCTTGCGAGGCTCATAAGAGGGATGGAGGACAACGTGTTCGATCCGGCCGAGTCCGATGTCACGTCGAGCGTATCACGATTGTTTCCTGAGTACATGAGAACACTCACCACGTCAGGTCCCCGTGATTGAAGCGATCGAAAATTCTTCCGGGGCGGCTCGAGAGTGAGAGATTGATCCATTGCAGTAGATCCTAAGTGAGGAAATCAATCCTGACCGAAGGTACTCCATCGAGGCTCAATCCACGCTCGAGCGATTATTATGATGTCCGATACAGATCGGAAGGAGGCAAAATGCCCCCTTTCAGACTTCAAGTCTTTCTCTACGAAAAATCTCGAGGATGATTCTTTGGTAAATTCTGCTAGATGTTTGTGGTTGAGAGTCCTTTCCATCCAATTCGATCACTTCATTATAATCCTCCGCCTCACTTCACGGGTTCTTGGACCCTGGACTCCTCACCTGGGACCTGGACTCCGGAGTAAGCAAGGTGAAGCGCAGACCGGAGCGCTCTGACAATTCTGAATTACGTCGCTCGCACGGTTCGACCTGGTTTTCGCGGAGCGAGATGCCATCACGTACCTCTGCCTCTCTCGAGGCACGCCGTGATGTGCATTCTCGCCTTGATCCTTGTCCCAGATAGTCCCGCGGGCTCGAGACAGAATTCGGGAGAAGCGATGGAGAATGAGCTGCATCATGTTGAGCTAACCGTGTGAACCTCCATGTTAGAGCGGCTGGGTGTCGATGGCTTTGAAGACATCGGTTCCCGAGCTGGGCGCTGCCTCTCGAGGGACTTCACCCGTCCCGACAGCGACGTCGTCCGAATAGGAGCTGAACATTAGGGTAGCATCAGTGAGGTGGCAACCTATTCGCTATTCCATGCCGGAGGTTCCGGGCAGAGCATTCTGATACAAAACCCGGCAGTCACTCCTCTCCTGTCCAATCGATTGGAACCTCACAGGGATCGATGACAATATCGGATTCGAGAGGTCCGATCGTCATGATCATGATATCCGACATATTTCAGGAAAAATCGAAGAGTACACTTCCGCGTCTCGATCCTTCCATCACTGGCAGGCTTTGTAGCGTGCTGCGCGTATGTGTTTCATTTCCTACATCTGACGATTCGCCAAAGCTCTGGGAAAAGCTTTTCGAGGGTGCTAATGAGGTTCGGGCATAGACCGCTGATTCCGCTTCGCTCTGCATAGGATGCTCTGGCTCTGCCGCTTCCCCGATAGACTGAGTGCTCGGGAATATGTTGGAGAAAAACTTTTATTTATACACTTACATTGTTGTAATCGACAACAGTTCGAAATTGTAATTTTTTAATATTCCGAGATGATATTTTTACAGATCACCCATACGCGCACACATACAAGCTCCCTAGATGTTCCTTCCTCCGTCGATATCGTTGCTGGCAGCTACAATAATGCTTGCTGTGCCGTGCTATCTCTGATGTGATGAAAGTAGCTGACTGGTGACAAGATTCTCAGATAAACGCTCCTCTTGAACATGCTACCGAAGTCACTGGGATTTGAGCTCTCCTCGAAGAACCGAGGCGGCGACAGACCGCTCGAAAACTTTTAATACCCGAGTCACAACAGTAAGGGTTCGGCTGCCGAGTTTGGTTCTGCCGTCGGTATCGATAAAGTACCAATTCGCTTCGAAAATCCAATTCTCGCTTCACCGTGAAGGGTGTTCGCAAAGATAACATCACTTCAATCCTTAGTGCTTATATCAACAAGTTTGTACGTCGCTGACATTTTTCTTTTTGCTTGAGGTCTGCTCGACTGGCTGGCTGGCTTGCTCGCCTGCCTCCTGGAAGTGTTGACAAAGCTGAAGTTGATGTCTCCGAGGCGAATTCCGAGGACTCCGTACTCGATTTGTTGACGTTGATACGGCTGCCAAGGCAGACTTTCGTGATGTGGTTGATGCACTCTCCTTCATTGCAGTATGGAAAACAAAGCGTCCCAATCGTCCTAGTCGTCAATATTTCTCTGAAGTCGGCTTTTTGACTCGCTCGCCAGCAGGTGACCTCGCGGAGACGGCGTTGACTCGATCGGGAAACATTCGCAAGGAGGACAAGCTTCGAAGGAGCCGTCCATCGATCTGACGAGGATCGGGCCCCGCACAGCAATAATTTTCCGTCTTTTCGACACCCGAGCCGTCTCCGCGATCATTCTCCTGTTGAGCTCTTAACTGACGAGATGCTCGAGGGATTTTTCGACGTGTTTCTCTGGTTACATTCTTCGAATTCCTTCTCCCACCGTGTGGCTTTTATCTCGCGACCAGCCACCGACCGTGCCTAACAACAATGACCTAACTCTTCTGTACAAGGTGGTCGATTGCTCGAGTTGACTGCATAAGAGAGAAATCGTGGGAAAAACACAGTACGTCATGACAACTTCTAGTGTGTTTGCAAGTTTTCCAAAAACTCACGACGATCTATCGGGGAGAACGGTGGTGGGCGACAGGGACGTTTGGACTTTCGCAAACCCGAGTCGGAAGATAGGGTTCCGATAGAACCCGGCAGAAATGAAGCCGCTAACTGTTTGTTTTAGCATCATCACGGCAAACTAGCTACGGAGCAGAAGACAGAGAGCGATCGAAAGAGAGAGGAAAGCACGGAAAGTGCTACAGTGAAATCATCAATGGAAGACAAGATGAGAGATAGCGAGCGAGTTAGCGAGCGAGAGAGAGACTGCAGAAGGATGTTGTATCTGCTTGTATGAATCTAACACGAGTGTAATATAATACTCTCAATGAATATGACGAGTTTTCTCGCAATTCGAGCGGAAACTCTTGGAAAACCGCGCTGAGAGACGGGGAGGAAGCCGACATCGATCAATTCAAGTATCTTGGACTACGTAAGATAACCAACAAATATGCTTCGCCTCAGCTTCGCTTTCAATGCGATTCTAGATTAAAGTTGCATGACTGAACTGGACTCGACTCGACGACAGGATTGATGATTGAAACAACATCCGAGGCCCGAGCATTTTCTCTCCATCCGGAAACTCTACTGCAAGCTCTCTTCTCTTTCATCTCTCGTCAGCCTCCATCGACGGTCGCGACTGCCATATCGCTGGATAAGTTTCTCTGGGCTCATCGATTTCACTCTTCATTCACACCATCCATCATCCATGCATCCATACAGTCAGAGTTAACCCGATAAAACGCAGACCGAAATTTGTCATCTGATTGCCTGAATGCCTGTTCAACGGTAGAATCGTTCCTTCTAGTCGACAACGGTACAAAAACTCTCATTCGTCATTTCAGAAGACTTAGATTCGAAACGAAGTTTCCGAGAGCTTATTCTTTCTAGATGATGGAAGTCCGAGCAGGCGGGAAAAACTTTCAAACAGACAGTGTTCGGTATCAAAGAGCAGTTAGAAGAACAGCTACACTATCTCGTCCTGTGGCGAGTCAACCAATCGATCAGTCAATCAATCAACCAGCCAGTCAATCAATCAGTTAATCAATCAATCAATTAGACAGCCAGTCAGTCAGTCAATCAATCAATCAATCAAATAGTCGGGATGAAGTAGAAACAACTTAGAGAAGACTGCACCTCTGCCGTTTCTTCGAAGGCTGCTTCCGCTCTGGGTTTTTGCGGTTGATTTGACGGACGAGATCGTAAAAAATCTCGTTTACGTTTGTCTTTGCCTTGGCCGAAGACTCAAGGAAGGCGCAGTTATTAAACTGACGCGCAAGATTTTGCCCCAACTCTTTACCCACCACCCGCTCATCCTCGACGTCGCTTTTGTTGCCGACCAGGACCATTGGGACATCGTCTGAATCCTGAAAATTCGAATTTTGAATTCGAGTCAATCAATCGGCTCTCTATTTGGGTCGCGATTCAATACTCCGATGAACGTGAATGAACGTGCAAACATGTACTCCGGGATGTACTCGATATGATCGAGAGCCCTCGGCTCGGAGGAGGATTCCGGAAGGTATTTTACCTTGACACGCAGGATCTGTTCACGAAGGTCTTGAAGGTCATTGAAAGTCGATTGCGCGGTGATGGAGTATACGAGAGCGAAGCCCTGACCATTCCTCATGTAGAGGTCACGCATCGCCGTGAATTGCTCCGTGCCAGCTGTGTCCAGAATCTCGAGCATACATTGCTGTCCATCCACCTCGACCTGCAAAGCATTCGAGTTCCATGAAAACACTGCTCCCTGATATCTGCTTGCCGCAGCGATCACTATACCAAAAGCTCTCAATCGATTTCTTATGAAACGTAACGCTAATCCGATAATTGTATGGAGGACAGACGATAGGAAGCTCGCTCCCGGAACGGCCTCCTGACAAGCCCCGCGGAACGTGACTGTGCAGCGTCTCCTATGCTCTTTAATATTTGGAGCCCTCGACAGTCGAGCAGGGGAAGGCATTGCTCGCCGCCACATGTACTTAGTCTCAAACGTAAAGGTCCCCGGGCAAGGAATGAGCTACCAGCCAACCTGCAGTTGCTGATCGTGGTTTTACCGTGGTCGAGCATTTTCGAATGCGGTTTCGTCGGAACGAGATTATTTTCACATCGACATTCTCCCCTAAAATATTGTAGTTTTCGACCCTCGCGAATCGTGTAATCGTCCCATCGAGATATTGCCTCACATCCTTCGAACTTCCGAGCGCAGCTCAGCTGTTCTTCCGCTGACACATCGGTTGCTGATCACATGCTACGACGCGACGGACGGCTTCTTTTTCAGAGCTCGTCGATAGCAAGTTATTGCGGCTCGACGGGGAAGCACTCGAGATTCCGATGGGGGATCAAAAGCTCAACGAAACTGCAATATTCCAGGGAGTTCCTGGGGATAGCGTCTCTTGCTTCGGTTTTCAAAATCATTTTGAAAGGGAAGCGCGAGGAGTCTCGTCGGAATTTCACGATCTCTCATGGTCTTTTCGAACCATACGGCTCGGTATCGGTCGACCACAAGCCAGATAACGAAAACCAGCGCGGCGCCAGTCATCGGGAACACCCACGGACATTCCAGGAATGAGAGAGCGAGGTTTATCGATTTTAGAAAATGTCCCTGACGACCCGAAAAGCGCCGTTGTCCACGGATCCACGCTTTCCTGAACGGCCCGCCTCAGAAAAACACTCTGATAGAGATAACCATTCGGCGCGATATTGGTCCCGGACGCTTCATCCGAAGTGAACGAGTCGGAAGAGACTCGAATGAGAGCTCTCTCTTCAACGATCCGGAGAACTATACTCGGCTTGTTGAAAGACGCGAAAGGCGCCGGAAGAGTCGAGGAAATCAATGCTCCCCGACATCTCTATCGCATCCGGTGCAGAGCAGATGAATGATAAGGGGTCGATAATTCCTTATGCAGCGCTTCCTGGAGCAGCATGAATATCTCCAAATCTCTGACCACCCATGAGTCGTTCGTCCAACTCGTTGCTCACGAGCAGCTCCATCGTTCGGCTGCCGTTATTAGTCAGTCGAGCGCGCCTATTTCATCACAGTTGTCATCGTCTTTCTCGCGGTCAGCGGAAGCGATGACATGCGCTTTTACGTATGTACTTCACCTTGTATAGAACTGTGGAGCATTCGCGTGAGCTCCGCTCGGATGAAGTATTAACCCTCCTCACGAGGCATTTGATCGGAGTATCATCATGAAATCCGAACAAGGTTCATAGACTGCGCATCTGGTTGATTATTTATTGATACCTCCGTTCCCGGTCGACCGATCGGCTAGTTGGCAAGTCTGCTCTCGGTGGACTCGCCCGCCGAGCCTTGTATCGTGGACACGGCGCTTGACACCTGGTCGGTGGCACACGGTGAACTCTATCTCTACGACGCAGATGCCCCTTCGTTGGTCGTTGTCTACTCTGCCGCTCATAAAGATGGGTGGCGGTGTCTTACTTCCGTATATATAGTTCTGCAGCTGCCCCAAAGGATAACACTCACCTGCTTTCTGTAGGAGTCCTCGATCGTCGGATCGTATTTCTCGACGAAAACCCCCTGAACGAACTGCACGGTGAGCGCGGATTTCCCCACTCCACCGGAACCCAAAACCACGATCTTGTATTCGCGCATTTCGAATGAATGTGTTTCGGAGCTCGCGCTCGCTCCTCCTCTTCTTCAGGAAGCTCTCACGCTCGTCCGCGGACCCCCACTACCTGCAAGAGACGGGGAATCATTGAGTTGTCGTCGCTCATTCGAGAGGAAATATTGATGTCGCCGCAATTCACGCGGGCACCGCTGGGACGGCCGTCTGTTCCGACGCATAGACTGCAGGAGACGAGCGTGACGGCGTGCTCACCGTAGGGATGGAGTGTCTACTGCAAGTATCAGACGGAGGCGAAACGTGCGACCAGAATCATGACAAAGAACGCCTTCTCCGAACAGACAACGCGCCAGCGGTGCTTCTCAACGAGCTCGATGGCGTAAAATCACAACCCTACAATGCCGGCAATGACGTGACTTCTCCGACCCACGACCGAGAATCTCGACGTGCGTTACCCGACGCATTCCGATAACCTGACCGAGTCCAGGTCTGGTATTCGAATCCGCGACCCTGTCTCGGGAATCGAGAGCCTTCATTGGCCAAAACACAAGAGGAAGTAGCCGCGAGAGACTCTCCGTATAGTTTCGATCTCCGGGTCCGGGTTGAGCTTTCGGCTCAGTTTCACGCGTACGGGTTTTCCCAGCGAAAGAGCGTTCCATCTGGGCCAGAGGAACACGGTCTCGATTCAAGACGAAAGTTTACGAGTCCGTCGCGGCCCTGTGAGAGTTTTCAGCGCCCGTGGAGGCGGCATCGGTCGGTGGCTACGGCGAAGCAAGCCCAGATTGGGGTTGGCGGGCTTGCGGGCAGTAGTTTTCTCGTCACGCCATCCCCTAAATAGGAATAGCCGACTAGGTCGACGGCTCCCGAATCGCTATTGAATGAAGTGATGGAAGCAGTCGGAAGTCATTTTTCCGTAAGAGAAACGGAACTCTCTCCGAAGGTCCGTCGATTAACATGGCCGCGGCGGCGGCAGCGACAACGTGCACATTCGAAACTGATAATTCATTCCGGATTCAATTAAAACACAAGAAGAGAGACAGACTCTGAACAGGTACTCCGATCACGTCATTGAGCGGTGCGCCACTCGTTCCTACTGCTGCTCTCGCTTCGCCAACTCCGAAGTGGAGTTTTCGTCGTCCACCGGCATCGCGATGGAAGGGCCGCCGTCTCTGCCTCGAGCACCGAGTTCCTTCACAAAAAGCCGAATGAGAGCCCACGGACTGTTTTTCTCAAAGCATAGCTCACTCACACATAGATTTTCACTCACGCAAACACGCACGGATGAAGAACGAAGCGATGGAAAATGGAACGCCTCCCCAATGGAACAGGGAACCGTTGACAGGCCGGGAACAGATCCCAAGTGATTGGCTGCTCTCAGTTTCGCGAGACGTACTTTTCACCGAAGAGAACGACGGCAGCGCAGACAAGGCACGCACGCCGGTATCTCGCCCGTTGAGCGGCGACAACGACGACGGGCCGAACCAAACGAAAGTGAGCAAACGAGCGTCAACGGTAATCGAACGAATGACGAGTGCGTCATCTCTGCGCCAGCCAGCCAGCAGCTCGGCGGCAGCGACAGCCGCAGCAGCAACATGAGCGGAGGGAGCGCTGACTCACTCACTGACGGACGGACAAGCTGGCCGATAATATACCGGGCGACTACTTACAGAGAACAACATACGCCCGGAAGAACAGACGAACGACCGGCAGCACGGACCGACCTGAACGCTGATGCGAGCACTGACAGCCCGACAGAGAGACCGACGAGAAAGCTCCTGTATGCACAACAGCAGTCCCCACGGCATCGCCGCTGAACAAATGGCGGACTATACGAAAATTAGAGCAACCGCGATAACCACGCCCGACGACATTCAGGAGGACACGACAGCGAGCGTTCCCGGGGAACTGCTCTCGTTCCCCGGTCGACGGTCATTCTGTTCGTTACTCGTTCTCAGCTCACTCGATCAATGCATCAATACGGAATGACGTGAGATATCATGCGAGCGGGGATCTTCTGTAGGGGAAAGCCGACTTACAGCAGCAAAACGCAATTCCAGTCGAGTCTGGTGCCCACAACGAGTCGCTAGCCCTCCGTCGGCCTTGTTGATGTTGCTGGCCGCGAGATCAGGGGTTCGGAGGAGGCAAACGCCAACTAGACAACCGATCCCGCAACGTGTTGCCGTCGGAGGAGGGAACCGCACGCTGGATTCCTCATCGCAGCGCGTTGACAAGCGAAAATCCTGATCGAGCGTGACAATAACTACAGAAGCGGGACACGCGCGCACTAAGAGCGCTGAGCGAAGATCGAAGCGTTCAAAATCACTCCTCGAGCGACCGAACGACCGATTAAGCGAACGAGTAACCGACCCACACTTTGCTGGAAACTACGCCTGAAGACGGCGGTCGACAACGCCAACGCCGCTGCCCAACAAGAGTGCACCGAAACCTACCGATCGCAGAATAGGCTTTCGATAAAATGCACTTTACAGCAGACCGTTGATGGTGTCGGGAAGCGATTCAACTGGAAGCGAGCCAGGCTCGGCCATCTCGCTGGCTACCAGGCACGGCCATTCGTTCATCCACCGGGTGTAGCCCTAACTGAACTGAAGCTCGATGAAACTTAGTTTCGCATTCGACCATACTCACTAGTTGGAAGCAAGCCGAGAACTTTCAAAAAGACGAACGCACAAGGTGGACACTGCTTCGGTCACGATGATGGTCAACAGACTGCCACGAAAATACGGGCGATGCCTCAACGCACACACACTGCCGTGACGTCACGAACTAACTCACTAGCCAGCCAGCAAGATAGCCAGCCGCCCAGCCAGTACCAACCAGTGTGTAGCAGCGGCAGCAGCAGCCGCAGCCTACAGAGAGGCCGCGGAGGGTGGTGCTGCCATCGAATCCCAGACATGCGCCAAAAGCACGTTATTCTCGGGTTGGAATTCTTCGATTGTAGCGGTTTTCCGACGCAAAATCGTTCCTCCCACGCCTCTGAGACCCCTGGATTAGGAAGACGCCCCTACTCGAGGTTTCCGGAACGAGACCATGGCAGTTCGTGGAGTATTTATCCGCCGGATCCCGGCCGTCCGGGACACGCGCCCGCTGGGGAGAGAAGAGGGGCCAACAGGTTGAAGACGAGGTTTCAGCGCCTCTCCGAAAGGTCCGCGGTTCTTCGCGCGCGTCATCGCTCTCTGGGCTCCGACTCCTCTGCTTAGAATAATACCGCTCTGATGAATATAACATCGCTTCTGCTGCGATCGAACCGAGGTTGTGCCGCCGAATGCCGGTGCGCGTTGTTACTAAGGCTCGTAGGATATAGATTGACTTACAAATGCAGCAGCAGCATCGGAGAGCACAGTGAAGCTCTCCTTCCTCGGACGTTGCGCGCTGCCCGAAGTCGAGGTCATTAACCCAGAGCGGAAGAAAAACGAATTTCGATCTCTTCGCTTGGTACATCGCCGTTCGCGGGGAACAATCGTAGACATTTCTTCGCCGCCGGGAGGGACGACTCTCCATTGGCATCGTCCCCGGTGATCAGTGGAATGATGCGAATCGTCCGTCCGGAGATGCGGCGGAAGCCCTTCATCTCTCGTCAGGCGACAGTCCAAGCATTTCCTGAAAAGCACCCCCATCGACACCTCCCTTGCGACGCCGACGGGGCTTTTCACCCTGTATCTGACGCCCCGTCCTTTCTCAGCAAGGACGGGGCACACCGAGTTCGAGCTGTTTCTAGCCAAACGAATGATTCCGATTGTATAGAATCCGAGAAATGCTCGACCGCAGACGAGCATATGGACAACTCTTGCCCCTCCCCTCCGGTCGTTCCAGCAGTTCCAGTAGTGACTTCGTGACAACTGTATGACTTCTATCACTTTACGTGTAAACGTGTATAACGGTATCATCGTCAGGAGACTAATGCCTCCGAGGCAGGAGCCATCGGTGGATAGTGTTCGTTCTGATCGAATCCGAAGAGAACTGTGAGAAGACTCCGCAGAATATATTGAGCGAACTCTTCGCACTTTCTGTCGGTCCCGCTGGAAAGCTTCATATACCGTCTCCGATTTTTCTCGAACTGACTGTGGGGGCTGGAAGAGTATCAGAAATCCCGCTCTTAGTAGGAGACGCGCTCAAGCCGCTTCTTGTGGAATTCGGACTCTGTCCGGAACTACGGGGCTCATCAAGCAGAGATCACCATCATCATGGCGACCTGATCATCTTCTCGTTTGATGCAGTGAACATCGCTACTCCACTCCTAGACATGTCCAATAGCACTCGTGTACGATTGTGAACCAAAGTTCCCATCCTTGGTCTTGGCTGATGGCGTTATAGCGCACCGGTGGGTCCCGAGGTCTGGTACCGGCCGCCGCAGCAGAAGAGCGCGGAAATGATGCCGATGATCTCCACCGACGGAAACATGGATTTTCATGCAGGTAGAGTTCGAAGCCCGGAACTGGAATCGGATTCCATATCAGCATGAGGACTGCCTCGTTCCCGGGACCCTCAATCGATGGAAAACGAGTTGAATATCGTCATGACCGTCGCCTGAGCTCCATCATCCTTCCCCCTCGCCTAAAGGCTGACACTCCTTTTGTTTGGTAAACATCAGAGTCAGAGAAGCTGTCTGGAGAGAACCGGCGAGTTCTCTCGTCAATATTCGCTCGTCGACGTTTCTCTGCCGACTTCGGTTCGAGCTCACTTTAGTCGACCTTGCTTCTCAATAAGCCAGCTACCTGGGCCCTTCCGACTCACTCGGGGATTTTCGGGCTGTGAGTATACAGTCAGGAAGTAGGAGGACACCGAATGCAGGAGCTCTTGCCGTGTGGATGCTCTAGCTAGCTTGATAAAAGTAGAAACGAGTCCGCCGCTGAAGCCGCTGTTCCGTTCTCTGCGGATTGTTCTAGCCGTGATTGCCTTGGGAAGGCGTCTTTCCGGTAGCGGATTCCTTCGCTATCTTCCCGCTTCTCTTGTTGGTCTCGGTTGCCTGTCCCACAGACGTCCGTCGAGCTGAGAGCTGGGATTTGAGGTTTCAATCTGTCACCGGTGGTAGGAGCTTCGGGCGGTACGAGAGGAACTCAGAACGTGGAACATTCCGTGCTCGAAAGGAAGACGACGTCGTTTTTCCGAGCTAACGTGCTCGGGCTCCCCCGAATGAAGTATATTTCAATATTGGGAGTGAGTGACGACCGGGTTTTTATTTCTTTCTCGCCCTCTGTCAATACACTCTCTTGGGAAGAGGAGTCTGCGTCTCACTGCTGGACGGACAACGGAAGCGAACGCCGAGACTCGATCGATGTCGGAGAGTCTTTCAGTGCTCCAGCGGCCAGTGAGTGGGAGGTCATCGCTGCTGTCATCGCCGCTCCGAAGGGTGGGAGCTCGTAAACAGATAAACATATGTTGGAATCGAGCGACCCTTCGGACGTGACACGTGACGCCGGAAAATACGATCTATTTCTTTCCTTTCTCGGAAACTTTGATTCTTCGTGTTTCGACCGACGGAACTTCCAGAAATATCTGTGTATCCTCGACTTTTTTCAGCTGCCACGGCGGGAAAAACGCGGAACCCCGGCAGGACCACGGCGGATCTGAGACCCTGAAGGGATCCTCCAGCCATGAAGATCTTATTCGAGGAAACAAGAGCCCTACATGCCCCTCCGAAGTTTCTAGAGCACGAATGTTTCCTATATCATAAGCACGAGGAATTACCGTCGTTGCACCGATCGCGCACCGATGCCAGAGGAGGCACTCCGACTTGATGAGGAGAACATTTTTCTCCGGAGCAACAAATAAGCGGCCTCCGATTACATGACGAACCTCTGCTTCCCGAATCCGTGCGCTCCGGTTCCGCAGACAAATGACGGAACAACCACATTTCCTCGTACGTCGACTATTCCTAGGCTTGTCGTTCAAGGAGTTTTATGTTCCTGACAGTTCTTTTCCTGCTGGAGGATCTCCAACTGCAGCTGCTGTCTCAACAGGAAACCATCTCAATCCGAGATTGGGCCGTTTTGGCCCATCTCCTCTTACCTGTCGAGGCAGGACGACGACGACGCGAGGCTCTCAACACGCGGAGCCGTTCCGCTGAGCGGTTGGCAGACTGATGCGATCAGTCCGCGTGACCCTCACGCCACTAAAAGACAACAGTTCCTCATTTGAGAGCATGAGCTCGTCAGATACCGTGCGCCTAATTTCTTCAGACGGCAAGCTATTCTGTCCCATCGCACAATCAGGTGCATTGTGAGCCGACGGGGATGCATTCGAAGCGGCTTCAATGTTTTCGCTTCCTCGGCCGACCGATTTCACAGCCTTGGAACGACTGCTATCGAGAAAGGAAACTCTGAGGTTGCGGGTCTCTCCAGATCCCTCTCCAGGGACGTCTGGAGGATTAAGGTTCGAGCACGCTTACTCTGCCGATTACTACGAGACACGAGGGCACCCATTAG